TAATGCGCAGGGGCATTTAGGTCCAACCGCGTCAAAAAACGGCCTCCCGTCCTGTCACGCCCAGAAATTTAGCCCAAATTTCCAGACTATTTTGTGTATTAAATCCCTGTCCAGGACCAGCCAGGGTACACAAAACGACAAGTAATAAACAGTTCCAACCGTAAATAAAGCGTAAAATACTTACAGAAGAGGCACTTAGTTCTCACACCGAAACAAAAGCAGCAGCAGCGGAAAAGGCGATCCTAGCGGGGCTTCAGCTCCACTCCACATGCAAAACTCAACTGGGGTCTGAGCCTTGGTCCTCTAACTCCATCTTCAGCTCAGAAGCACTACACTTCTGAAAGGGGGAATAATAGCAAGGCTGAGTACAACCACCGTACTCAGCAAGCCACACCAACGATGCAGACGTGCAAGGGGATACAAGGATGGTTTGTGGCTATTTGCATAAAGGCGGTTGTAAAACATTTTATTGAGCAAAACAGTAAAACAGTTGAGTAATTAAAATAATATTGAATCTCCACTGATCAACGCTACACCACGTTGAACAGGCCCAACCAACCCACCTGGACTACAGTGTATTAGGTCGATTTATTAAGTGTGAGACTAATCACGGTGAATCTGGTCGACCGCCCATAACCGCGGGCACGGCTATTCGAATAGTTTTACTCTGATCAGAGGTGTACAACTGTACCCACAAGACACAGCCCCACGACACGTTTCCGTGCGCCGACATGCCACCACGACATACCGGAAAGAGGCCGTGACAGGACCCTTCGCATAACCCCCTCTAACCAAGCACACCACACCTCAGGTTTCACCCCCACTCCTCGCAAGGCAGCGGGCAGTCCCCTCTCGTGCCTAGGTGAATCCGGAAGCCGCATAGGCCGTCGCAGGGCCCATCCAAACTCCATCACGCCCACCCTTGCCTGGATGCGTCGGCTAGAGGAAAGCTACACTACAAGCCCAGCCGTTGCCCACGCTGGCTTGTGGTAAGTACGATAAGTTCTTCCAGGGCATCCCGCGAACCGGTCCTTAACTGCCATGGGTGCGACCAGCAAAACCATGCACCCACAGCCCACCATTCAGTTGCATTTTAGTTGGATAATCACGACCATGAAGCATGGCCAGATGTCTCGAGCACGCGGCTCATTCTGATACTAAAAAGGTCTAATACTGCAGTTATCCCATCAACTGAGCTAGTGGTAATTAAGCATGGCTAAGCATATAGTTCTAGCTAGGTCACATAAGTAACATGAGCTAGTCGATTCATTACCCAAGGTTGACAAAGAACAGATATCAAGTAAACATGGCACAAGCGAGCAGATAGGTAAACCCTGATCCCGTGTAATTAGCAAAACATGCATATTTATTTGCAAACAGTAAAACATTTGTAAATTAGGATCAACATGCTCAAGGGGAATGTGTGACTTGCCTTGCTTCTCCACTTTGATCTTCCGAACTCTTTTCCTCGCGACCGCGGACTTCCGAAACGACGGAAACTACACGCTGGCACGCAAAACGAGGAAAAACTCTAATAAAAACCAAGGAAACAGTACATAAAAACTAAACAAACATGTAGAGCTCAATTTTAGATGAATTTTGCAAGTTGAATGGCTCAATTCGGAGTTCGAATGAATTAGATATGAATTTTAGAAGTTTTGAGCCATTTAAATGAATTTCTAGAATTAAACTCGATTTATTGCGCAATTACTATTTATTTTTACAAAGGAAAAGGTCCTCGCTGACGTCAGCAAGGGGCGGCCGGCGCCGACACGCGGGCCCCACACGTCAGCGAGTCAAAGGGGGAGGGCACACGGTGGACCGCGTCCACCGCGACCTCGGGCGCGCGTCCACCACGTGGACGGCCCAGATCGGCCAAGGCCGATCGGACGGCTGGGGACAGCCGGGTGGCGCGGCCCGGCCAGCGCTCACACAAAGCTGGCGGCGGCGGCGGCCGGGACCGAAGCGACGGCGGCACACGGGCTGGGCGGCCACCGGCGGCGGCACACGGCGCGCGCAAGCACGGGAGGCGGCCGGCCAAGGGGAGAAAGAGGGAGGGGAGAGGAGTGCTCACCGAGGGCGGCGACGGCGAGACGACCACGGAGAGGCGACCGGCGGCGGAAAGGATGGCGGCGGTCGGCACGGGAGGCGACGAGAACGGCGTTCCGATGACGCCCGACCACGGCGGAGCCACGGCCGAGGGGCGGTGGGATGCAGCGAATGCGGTGGAGGCGGTGGCGCGGCGTGAGGTAGATGGGGATGGCGGCAGCGCGAGAGAGGTGGTGCGCGAGGCGGCGATTTTCCGGAGGCGGAGAGGGGAGATGGAGTAGGGGCCGGGGTAGAGCTTGGCATGGCGTTGCCGACGGCGCAAGCGGCGAGGTGCGGCGACGACTAACGTGGCGGCAGCGGCCGGCTGAAGGCGGTGTGTGGCGGTAGTGGCTCGGCCTCGCGATGGGAAGGTGGTTCCGGCGGTGGAGGAGGGAGATGGAGTGGATGCCGGGGTGCGGCGGGGAGCGGCGAAGCCGGTGGTGGTGACGGTGCAACGCGGGGATGGCGGGAGCGGCGGCAGGGGCCGGCTGGAGGCCGCCGGCGAGCGGCGGAGCTAGCGCGCGCGTGGGGAGAGCGGGAGAGAGTGCGGGGAGTGCGGGAAAGTTGGGGAAAAGGGAGAGGGTGGCCGGGGAAGTGATTTTATAGGCTCGGGAGGGAGTGGCTCAGGCCGGGATGGGCGGCAACCGGCGTCGAAGTGGGAGGCGACGTGGAGCTCGTGGGGAGGTCAAACCGGCGCCGTTTTGTTGGGGGAAAGTGGGGGAGGAGAGTGGAGGAGGTGGGGCGACGCGGTCCCGCGGTCGGGGCGAGCGCGCGGGTGGAGGAGGAGGCGGAATCGGCGGCGACGTGGGGAGGCCGTGGCGGCGGTTTCGGCTGAGGGAGCCGGAGGTTAGGGATGGCCCTGACAGGTGGGGCCCACCTGTCGGCGGCTCGGGGGGAAGGAGAGAGGAGGAGACGGTTGGGGGAGAAGATGACAGGTGGGGCCTCGGGTTGACGGGGAGGCAAAGCAGACTTGAGGGAGAGAGAGAGCCGAGCGGGCCGAGGGAGAAGGCCGGCCCGAGAGGGAGAGAGGGGGGGGAATTGGGCCGAAAGGGGCCCAAAGAGAGGAGGGAGGTTTTTATTTGTTTTCTTTTTATTTTAATTGGTTAAATGATCTTCGTGACTTTAAAACTATTTCTCGAGCTCCGAAAATTTACGGAAAATTCCGGAGAGTACATTAGGGCACAAAGAATATTACAAAATATTCCCGGCCAATGATTTTTAAGGGAAAATTTTAATTCTCCCATTATTTTACTTGATTAAATTGATTTAAGTTTTATTTAATTTCTAGAAAATGCATTATTTAATGATTTTTAATCCCCGAACGAAAATCGGGGCGTTACACGTCCGCCACGTCAGCACAGCGAGTTTCCTTTAGACGACGCGGTGTCCATCGGCAAATATCAACGATTATGGAATGTCTTTCCCTAAAATTTTACTTTCGCGGTATCCCTGAGCTAAAATCATACAATTGCAATGTCCTGTAGCAAAATTTGCCAAACAAATTATAGATTTCACATGTAAACTGCGAGACGAATTTATTAAGCTTAATTAATCCGTCATTAGCAAATGTTTACTGTAGCGCTACATTGTCAAATCATCGCGCAATTAGGCTTAAAAGATTTGTCTCACAATTTACACACAATCTATGTAATTAGTTTTTTTTCTATATTTAATTCCATACATGTGTCCAAATATTCGATGTGACAGTGTGAAATTTTTTTTTAAGGAACTAAAAAGGGCCTTAGCCATCCAATTTGCAACGGATGGGACGATTTAATGCGCTACAATATGTGATGCACATGAATTGGGAGAACAATGCTTACTACAGTGTTTATCTACTCTAAATCATTACAGATTCTTATCTGCCTTTACATCCTAAAAAGTCTGACGATCTGTCTTTTTAAGAGTACCGTGGGTCTTCAAGCTGTGCTCATATAATCATAACAAAAAAGAGTACCGTGGGCCCGTGGCCACTTGGAGCTTGACATGTTTCCGAATTCACAACAAAAAAGGGGGGGTTTAGATGGATTTTTTTTATGTGTAGTTTTTTTCCTTATCAAAAATCCAATATTAAGATTATTCTCCAATAATCAGATTTTCCATCCAAAAATAACAAATGGAAAATTTTCTCCATCTTTATTATGGTGCTATCCTCCGATAATCCAATATTCAAATTTCAAACCGTAGTGATATTAGATTTTTTTTTTCAATATGTTTTCCATGGATTATTTGTTCCATGTTTCTAAGAAACAATTTCTAAAAAAAATTCTATTTTACATAGTATATGTGAATTTTTTTTAAAAAAATATTTTATCATGCTAATCAAATAAACAATTCATAAGAGCATGTACAATAGCAGGCTATAAGACAGCTATAAACATATTTAAAGAGATAAATGAAGAGAGAGAAAAGCAGCGGGCTACATATTTATAGCTAGCTGCAGCACGGACTTCAAGACGTAATGTACGTATGATAGGTGAGACTAGATACTAATAGTATAGTAAGCAACTATTGTATAAATTGGCTATAGATGATTTGTAACTAGTAGTTGGCTATACTATTAAACTTGCTCTAACAGTATTTCCATCTCAAATCGAGATACAAGCACCTCCATTGCAAGTTCCCAACACATATGCTAGGCGAAGAATTTGCATTTAGAAACACGAAAGTACAAAAAGTTTCAAAAGTTTTTGTTGGTGACATAAAAAAAGGCACAAAGGGAGGGTAAAAAGCAAAAAAAAAAAAAAAAAACTCAGACTGCCGCAGTCGTACGCTTTTCAGTTTCTGCTGCGGCCAAAAGGGCGCGGTCGGGTCAGAGTTTGAATCCTGAGAACACTTTTCCGATCCACCCCCTTCCCTTTAAAAAATATTTACATTCAGGTCCTTTTCCTCCCCTCCTCTCCCCCCTCATTAATGCCGCTCTCTCTCTCAGCTCATCAGCTCTGCTCGCTCCAAGAAGAGAAACGCCATTGATTGGTGGAGAGAGAGAGAGAGAGAAGGATTTCGTATCTCCACCTCCCGAGAAGCGAAGAGAGAGAGAGAGAGAGAGAGAGAGAGAGAGAGAGAGAGAGCGAGAGAGAGAGAGAGGGAGAGAAGCTTCGATCCGTGAGATTTGGCCCCGATTTCTTGAGTTCTTTCGAGATTTTTTTTCTCAAGTTGTTTCGATTTCGAAGTGCGTCCAAGAATCGGAGACCTCCATGTCCGCGAGATTGGTTGTTCTGTGAGTTTGAGGAGGAGATGACGGGGGTGGTGGTGGTGTCGCCGTCGGGATGCAAGGGCGGCGGAGGAGGAGGAGGAGGGGTGGGGAAGAAGAGGGGAAGCGGGGAGGAGGAGAGGGAGAGAGAGAGGCAGCAGCTGTCGGTGCTGGAGGTGCTGCTCGCGGCGGTGAGGAGGTCGGTGGTGGCGTGCAGGGTGGAGCGGGAGGGCGGCGGCGGGTGGGGGGAGGAGGGGGAGGCGGAGGCGGAGGAGGGGGACGCGGCGGCGGAGGTGGGGGAGATGGAGATCGGGTGGCCGACGGACGTGCGCCACGTGGCGCACGTCACCTTCGACCGCTTCCATGGCTTCCTCGGCCTCCCCGTCGAGTTCGAGGTCGAGATGCCATGCCGCGTCCCCAGCGCTAGGTAAACCAAATCCCCCACCCACCATTACATCTCCTGATCTCCATGGTTGAGTTCCAAGCTTCTCCTTTTGAATCCCTTGGGGATTTCTCAGCAAACTGCAATATAAAATCTACTAGTAGCAGTTTTTTTCTCAGATTTTAGAACTTCTTTTTCAGTTCCTGCTCTTGTGGTTGTGGACTCTTCACTGTTCAGAAAAACAAAATCGATGGTGATTCATTGTAAATTGCCATAAATGAACTGGAGTAGCATTTTTACCTCAGAATTTAAGGCTTCTCCTTGGGGATACCAGGTAGATTGCAATAAAAATCTAGCATCTTTTTCTCTCGGATTTTAGACCTTTTTTCGGTTCCTGCTCTTGTCTTGTGGATTCTTCATTGTTCAGCAAAAATCGATGGTGAATCGTGGTGAATTGCCATAAATGAACTAGCATGTTTGGACCAGGTGGCACGGGATGTTTTTACCCAGGAGCATGGGTGGCGATCTAGTCTACGGATTGATAGTCACTAATATCTATGTTTCGTGATGGGGGTTTAGTTTTGTTCTTTTATTGGCTGTGTGCATTTTATGCAGAGGCCGGGGGTGAGCTCAGTTGAAATGTATCATCTTGGTGTATTTGACTGAGTCTTAATAAAGCTTCCATTATCTTAAAAAAAGCATGTTTGCCTCAAATTTCAAAAAAAAAAATCAGTTCTTGCTCTTTGTGGACTCTCCACTGTTTAGAAAAATTCGATGGTGATTCATGGTAGCACTTCTACATCAAATTTTAACACTTTTTTCAGTTCTTGCTATTGTGAGTTCTAAAAGATTAAGCAGAATTGGGCATTAAAGAGGTAGATCTGGAAATGCGGATGTAGTTTCAAACTTTCAATCCGTTTCAATTCGGTTGTTGAACTGAACTGACTTTGGCGTCATTGATATCTTTGCTTTGAAGAAAAGGCGTTCAAATAGAAGTACAGATTGCACAAGAAGCTCAATAAATGTAGGATTTATTAACGGGATAAGATAACGCTTATGAGAGTGCAATAGGATGCTTGACTTACTGGAGTACTAGCTGATTGTAGTACATTTGTACCTAATCTTTTTTTCCAGGACATTTATCATTGTTTGCAACTTTGCTACATCTTTGCAAGATTTATCTTATTAAGGCCACTGGAACTTGCAACCTACCCAATGATATCCAACCAAGTAGTAAAATGTAATTGTAACGAAACCGAATGGAAATCTGAACGGATTCTTTTGATGTTTGAACTGGATCGATTTGATGAATTATGACTAAAGATGCTTAAATTAGTTCTCTTTCAACTGCAGTGCTAGTGTTTTTGGTGTCTCGGCTGAATCGATGCAGTGCACCTACGATGGGAAGGGAAACTCAGTCCCCACTATACTGCTGCACATGCAGGAGAGGTTGTATGCTCAGGGAGGCCTAAAGGTCAGGCATCACAAGTTCACTTGTTGTTCCTTTGACTCTGTTTGATATGCATTTACAGTTATGGATTTGCGGCGCATTCTGAGTTTTGCCTTTTCAGGCTGAAGGAATCTTTCGCATAAACCCGGAAAATGACCAAGAGGAGCATGTGAGGGACCAGCTGAACAAAGGAGTTGTCCCTGAGGACATTGATGTTCACTGTTTGGCAAGCCTGATTAAGGTACAATTATCCTCCTATCAAAACTCTGGGAAAATCATGTTCATGTAACCATATTTCTCTCAGGCAATATTTTATCATGTACTCCCTGCTCCCGAAAAGTTGCATGGCAATTCTATGCTGGTTTTGCAAAAGAAAAGAACTGAAACCTCCTCTATGTGTTTGTCCAGGCATGGTTCAGGGAACTTCCAGAAGGTGTGCTTGATAGCCTCTCCCCTGAACAAGTGCTACAGTGCAATTCTGAAGGAGAATTCCTAGAGCTCGTGACGCTATTGCGCCCGACTCAGGCAGCGCTCCTCAATTGGGCTGTTGAACTGATGGCTGACGTTGTCGAAGAGGAGGAGCTGAACAAGATGAATGCTAGGAACATAGCCATGGTGTTTGCCCCCAACATGACTCAGGTAATCTCCATTTCTGTAATTTTGCAGGGGATCAGGTGATACGTAGGTGATTCTTCAGTACTTTCCCTACAAAAGAACCTGACTGAGGTTTGCTCTTTTGTTTTTGGGTTCTATGCTAGATGTCAGATCCTTTGACAGCCCTAATGCATGCTGTCCAAGTCATGAACTTCCTCAAGACATTGATCTTGAGGACACTTCGAGAGCGTGACGATGCAGCTAGCGGAGATTACACTCCATACTCATCTCCAGCTTCATCCAGTCAGCAAAACGATGCTGAGTACTATGGCAGTGAGAGAGACATGGACAGAAGCTGTGAAATGAGTGATATGCATAGCGAGATCAGCAGGTCTGGTCGACAGGTGGATTTTCTGGTGAGGTACAACACCTGCTTCGACAGCGAGCAAGAAGGCGTCGATCCTCTGAGCGACGTCGAAGAAGGGTTCTTGAGACAGCTCGAACACGATCTCGAAGCGGATAAACGAGAGGAGAGCGCGAAAAAGCAGCACGAAATAAGTTCAGAGATCATGGCTGTGAAGGATGTTCAAGCTGAGCTGAAAGTTGAAGCCAAAGCAGCAGGGAACACACAGAAGGAAGAAGGTGCAGGGTCTTTGCAATGATGAAGTTCATGTGTTTTTTGAGCTTCTAGATCTCATGATTTACTGTGCTAGATTGTTTTCTCAACATATGGTTGAGTGTAGTGCCCAATGGTTGTTGACTGTAGTGCATCATGTAAACTTAGCTGATCTTTTTATCCTTGGATGTGGGTGACAATTAGTGTGTATGTCAATGTTACTATGCCTAAGCGTAGTTTCGTGCGATCTGGGAATGTTGTTTGTTGCATATCTGCATCAATGTCTTGAATCTCCAAGTGATGATTTAAATTGTTGTAAGTTGTAACAAACCAAATTTTCCCGTACAAATAATATGTATCAGCAAGTACTAGGACTACGAGAATTCATATGGAAAATCTGAACACGAGCATTACCAAATGCATAATTTGCAGTGCCAGGTTCAAAACGAGAATGTCTAGATTCAGCTGGCGACTGTGCTCTACTAAGAACTTCATCTCAGACATTTTTCTTGTTATAATGGAAGGAAGATAATGATTTTTAACTATGATAAGGGTATTCATTTCCCAGTAAACCAGATACAGACATTCAAGTTCCAATATATCATCATGGGTAATGGCTGGCTGGGCGCCAAGCACAGCATCAAAACTAAACTACATATACATTTATCAGTAGTTAAAAGTAGTATTTCAGCAAAGCGGAAAATTGTGGCCCCGTCAACTTTTCCCCTTGCAAGAATATACGATAGCGATTTCGGCTTTCACCTGGCTGGATTAGTGCCATAACTTACTGCAGAAACCAGTTCTCGGCTTCTTACTGGATACAATTTCTTCGAAGGAATCCAGGAGCTGTCCTGCCAAGCTACTGGGATCATCAGCAAGGGTGCGGATAAAAGTGATCACAACCCTCCGTTCCTGCTCCGTCGATCTCAAGCTAAACCAAGTTAGAAATTTCATCCTAAAGTCCTTTTCGATGTGTCCAGAACATTCCAACCACCGTATAACCTTGACGCAGTATTCGTAGTTATCATCTAACTGACCTAACCTACGGGAGAAGTGCTTGGGTGGGCTGATGAGCAAAGTGCTATCATCAGCACCAGTTTCCTGCTCTAAATAAGTTTCCTGCTCTAAATCTGATGTCTGTTTACGACTTTGTGATCGGGATTCCATGGCCGGTGCCTCTCCAACAAGCCCCTCAGCACAAATATCAGAATCACTGGAACCATTCGACTTTCTCAATCCATTCTTTCCTGGACTACATATATTCTCGTTCCGGAAGCTCTCTGTAGGCATCACCACCTCAGCGTTTAGGTCAGGGACTGAGGATTCATTAAGATCAAGCTCGTGGGAAACAACATGTGCAGCTTGATCCTTATCGTGTAAAGCTGAATCACTTTGACAGCAGGAATCTTCAATCTCATCTTTGCAGGCCTCACTGGGGCAACCATTCTCCTCAGCCCAAGCTTTCCTCAGGACTTTACCCAGCTGGTGCACCTGGAAGCCTGATGACCAGCCATTTCGACTCTTGCTGTCCCGCTTGGCAGTAGATGAGCAACCTTCTGCACCATGTTCCATGTTCTTGTGAATGATTTCCACGCTCTTGGTAAAACACTTGCATTCAGAGTGGCCCAGATCACCATACTCAGTAAATGAAATGATCCGGAAAGCATACTCCGTGCAAGGCTGCAAATTGGAAACCAGTATCCTTCTTTGGTCTTTGGGGAAAATTGCAGGCACCCTAGTGGAAGGCTGTTCTCTGCTATTCCAATACCAGAGTTTATAGCCTTTGATAGCATGATACTGTGAAGAAGCAGCTTCTTTCAGTACCACAACTAATGATGAAGTTGTAATATCTTCAAATCTAAATCTGCAGGCAGCAGGAAGTGTATCTGCACCATGGAAAAATATTAACACAACTATTAATTCCATGTTGCATTCACCAGATATAGGTAAAAAAATTACATTAAAAAAGTTTGAAATCATTACCAATTTGTTTTGTTTCTGCTTTACAGTTTGACTTCAGCCACGCATCTGCCATATCAATTGCTAAAGAGCAAAGTTTCTGCACATCAGCAGCAACAGGCAGCCGGCCAACAATGCCACGGGCCATCTTTGAAGATGTACCATCAAGGGGGCCAACCTCAGTTTCCAGCTTTGCTTTTGCATCCTCTACAATCTTATGAAATTCTTTAAAACGCGTTGTGCCATCCAATAGTCTATGGCTCAAGTAAATGCGGGAACAAAGGATATCAACACGCCGAGCATCTTTAGCAACCATCAGCTGCCTTTTCCAGAACCTGCATCAAATAATTCAAAAGAACCTTAAATTAACCAATACAGATGGAAAAAATACACATGTATGAGTATTCAACATAACATAACTCTATTGTTGCTGTTAGTTAACCATTAAAACACATCATGGTGCTTTAAATAACTATCATGTCTTTCTGATGTATGCTTCAACTTGGATATTTAGAGTACAAAGAGGTTTGCAAATATTGAGGAATACCCAAACAAAGTAATGAAACGCAAAATAAATTAACCACATGGGTTTAGGATCAGCTATCTAATGAGAGGATTAATGTTTTAAAAAATCTAGCATCAACTGATAAAATCAACAATTCTCTAGGCATAAGTCATCACGTAGCATGAATGCTTAAAGCAAGTGTGCCTAGGAATATTTACATAAAGAAAATTAGGATATTAAGGTAGATAGCTAGATGCAGAACCACTCACCCAAGTATTCCAATAACCTTTCCGCATGCAGCACAGCAATAATTACCATCGAGCTGAATAGATTGACCAAGATCGACGCATCCTACCTTCTGATGCTGGAGTGCGCATTCAATGTGGCACGATGACTCACAGCAATCCCTGTCACCAGTTTCCGATGAGCAGACCAGCCAAAGGCTAGGATCTTTGTTGTCATCGAAAAGATGACAAATACAGCATGAGCACCGCTTACAGAATGTATTGTCAGCGGTCAACACAGCTTTGCAGGCCGCATTTTTACATATCCAAGTGCTGGGAGGCTTTGTATCCTGAAATGTTTCATTCCGACGTAGTTGAACAGGGTAGTCCCCCTTTCTGGGAAGCTTTCTGGGAGCCTGGCTACCAGTGAGACATGAATTGTTATTGCTGTTTGGGACAAGTTTCTTGGAATCCATGTTCTTACATCTCTTTGCAGCTGGTGCTATTGGTATGTCTTCCACTGATTTGCATTTTGGTGTGCTTGATTGTATCTTTTCTGTGTTAACGCTTGCATCATTTGACTCTTGGTCTAGAAAACCCAACTGTTCCAGGGTATTATCTGAAATGGTGTTGCTATCATCAGCATGTATATGTTCTTCAAGTGCGCTTGCACCACTACAAGCGTGTAAGGCTGGCATGGCAAGAGACAAAAACACAAAAAGGTTCATTAGTATGGACATGAACAACCTGAATCATCAACAAGAACATAGTAATCATCAACAAGAACATAGTTCAGGTTCAGATTGTAGCCACACAAGGAAACCATCACACATTTAAGAAAGCACTAAGTACTTCGAAAGCCTATCATTTGCACACAAAACCAAAGGCTTGTTTGGTTTAGTGCCATACCAAAATATTGGTAGTGCCAAAACCTAGGCATGTTTTGGCACTACCAATAATTTGGTAGGGTAGAATTTTAAATAATGTGTTTGGATTGATACCAATTGGGAGCCAGATTTTATATTATAGTGAAGTTCTAGAATTATACCAAATTAAGGATGGGCATTACCATCCATTTGGCTTCAAACCAAACCATCATATTTACTATTCAAACTACCAAAAAAATTGGCATGGCACATTTTGGCATCAATCCAAAGTGGCCCCAAGTTAAACAAGTACTGTTAATCAGACAGAATTTAGGCCATGAGGGAATAGTTCTCTACATGACCCCATCAAGAAAGGGAAATGCAGTAGCTTGAATGCTTGATGATGCTCCAACGAACCAATAGTCTCATCCAAAGATGCATACATATTCCACAATATGATACCCCAAGACATTGCATGACTCAGCTGCTCAACCCCCAATAGTCTTTTGCACTCTAACTCCAATGATGCTTTCTTCTTTGAGGCAAGATTCGCCGATTTCCACTACAATCAGAAACTAATATGCCACCGGTGTATTCACCTACAAAGCGCTATATCCTTGCACACCTATATCTATCTGCGCAACCCTTGTAAGTACCACGATCGACCAACTGGATATGAGTTCATACTGTTGGAATCAAAAAGGATTCCACAAATTTGACTCCAACCCAACCATTAACCTACCAACCTAGAATGAATTGTACATCAATGTGTTTACACGCTTCCCCCCCCCCCCCCCAAAAAAAAAAAAAAGATCAAATCAAGTGTAAAGCGCCCTTGGCTGAAATGATTTATCATTTTCAGCAGCGCAACAGCTCCCAAGAAAGCAGAAATACTAGTACTACTACCTATAATAAGGACACAGGCTAGCTGTTGCCATCGCATCGCATGGGGAATAAGAGGAGGAGGAGGAAGAAGAACTGGATCGATCCATGGATCTCGGATGGATGGATGGAGCAGAATAATAATAATAATTAGAATAATAAGAAAGAATCGAAGCAGCAAGCTTTAGTAGCTTAGGGTCTCACCAGCAGCGAAGAGCCCCGGCGGCGGCGGGTCCCCTCCGGCGCTCGAGGCCATCCCAGCAGCAGCAGAAGGAGGGGGGGCCGCCTCCGCCGCCGTCTGACGCCCACGGGCGAGAGGGAGACGGCGGACGGCCGGCTCCTCGGCGGCGGCGGCGGCGGAGGGCGGGGGCAAGAAGGGGTTTTTCTGCTGCTGCCGCTTTTACTCCTTTTGCAATGAAAAGAAGGAAAGAACGCTTTTTTTGGTGGTGCGGCGGCGAAGGCTGAGAGAGCGACGAGATCAAGTGGGTGGATGGGCCGGTCTGGTCTGGGCCGGGCCGGGCCGATGCTTTGGCCCACGCGGCCCAGCCCGTTCCACGGGGATGGCAACGGCTTGTTGACTTACTGGCTGCGTTTTTTTGAAAGAGTTCCCGACACATCATTCTCATTTTCCAAGCACCCGCTTTAGAAACTACTCCCTCCATCCTTAAAAAAAAAAAAAGACAACCTGATGTCACATCCGTTTCTAGGTTATCTTTTTTTTTACGGATAGAGTGATAAAAGATTTTTTTTCTAAAAAATTTTATATACGAAAGTTGCTTTAAAAAATCATATTAATTTATTTTTAACAAATTTTAGCAAAATTACAGTTAACATAAATGGCAGAATTTTAACATATTGTTTTCTTACCAAACTTTAACATATTTTAGCATTATTACAAGTTCTGGTAGAATTGGTTTTTGTTTGGTTTGATGTCTTTGTCAAATTTTAGTAGAGTTTTAATAGAGGAGGCTTATAGAACGGTCAAAGCTTGGTAAGCTAGGTTGTAATGGTTTAAGTGTGTTTAGTTTGTTATCCTATCAAAATTTAGCAATATCAAATTTTAGCAAGGTTGAAAGTGAACAAACTAAATGTCCTATATTTTCCCTGGAAAATTTTTCACCGTTGATACTACGTGTGGAAGTAATCGTCTCAACAAAAGATGTACCTACTTGCTTTCCAATTTCTCCGTGTTCTAAAGTCAATAAGGAATTTATATGTAATGTTTATATGAAGCTTCTTCGATAGTAACCAGTGGTGGACCTAAAAGCACCAAAATCATATACTCCTCCGTTTTGAAATAACTCTCAAATGGTTAGACTGCGATGCCTGAAAGCTCCGTGCTTGTGTTTAAGATGCAATATAGTTGTTTCTTGTTTGATCCGACAATTTTAAGTATTCATATTTTTATAAAAAAAATAAATGAGTGATTAAAGCTCAAAGGTAAACAGTTCCGATAAAAGTCATTTAAAATTTAAAAATAGGGGGAGTAGCACATTATGTTGACCAAGGCAAGATCCCACAACATTGATGAGTTGCTGGTACGAATGACCGTAGCCAACTTACAACCTCACTTATACTTATGAGCCAAAATTTAAATTTTTAACTTTAAATTTGAAGTTGATTTGGGAATTTTTCATCGAAGTTTATTTTTCAACATTTGCTTTTAGATCGTTAAGAACACATATACAAAAATAATTGTTGCTTTTACCATTCTGCCTCTTCCAGAACTTCAGACTGTTCTGCCTTGCCTGAAGAAACGAAACAAACAAAAAAAAACAGAAAAGCGCGTAGAAGTTGACATGGATAGTGAATACACGTATAGTCAACCTCATGGTTGAATCAGGCTCAAGTTGACTTTGCTTAGTGCCGTTACCATGTCAAATGGTGCAACGTGCACGAGCATATTTTCTGCTTGAAGACTTTGGATTTGCCAAATGAACAGACTTGTGATGTAGTAGTACCCAAGTTTTCTTGCACTTATCATTGTTTTGTACATCAGAAATCAGGAATCAGGAATCAGGATGTTCTTTGCTGGTGTAAACACTACATCATGAATTCATCTGTTGGCAAAAAATGACAACTTTTATCTGGTCGATTACAGTTGGGGATCATAGCTTCTGAACCAACCAGGCAAAAGAACTACCTACTGAAATGGAGCATCGGCGTCGTCTTCTCTCCAGTGAGTATCCCCCGGCAGCACGAGCAATTGCATGTCCCCAAAACAAGCCAGTGCTCTTCATTGTAGCTTACTATGCACCAAACTAAGAGCAAAAACTTTGCATTTCAATGAAGTTCTTGTAAACTTTAGAATGGCATCATTCTTCCCAAGCCCTCTTTCGGGACTTTTTGTGTGGCCGTTCCGAATTTATGACGCTATCTTCATTGTCCGATGTTTTGTGATCTTGTTCATTCTTAATTTTAATCCCAACATTGCTTGGTCTCCTTGTACCACTGGATTTTTTTTTAGCAGCACATGTATTACTCAAAAGCTTGAAAATGTTGAGTGGGATAAAATATAGTTTGACAAGTAACATGGAAGAAGGTAGTACCTGCTGATTTCTGATGCATATTCAGCATCATGAGTTGATAGCCAAGGCATGGATCCAGTATGTGGTGGGAGCAAAGATCCAGTTATGTGACAATTCATTTCTGTATCCACCCTTCAATTGAAAATCAGAAGAATGGACATGATTAATTTATGTGATCCAGAATGTGGACAGTCACATTAACTATGTCCAACCACAGCAATTCTTATTTACTCCCTACATCTTAATGTATCCCAGGAATGTGCTTCAGGTCACCTCCAATACATTAATCAAGAAGCTAAAAAAGCTATTGCTCTGTGCTCACTAGATATCTCAATACGCGGTGGCATGCATTCCAGGAACACAGAACCTTATCCATATTATCAACTACACCTGACACCCATCATTTCAGGTTGTACTAATTAAGACACAATTGCTGGTTTTGGGGTACCCCTAAATCCCTCATCAGTGCAATAGGGGGAACATATTGATATGCCAGAACAGTACACATGTATATGAGCAATATACAGTTAATACAACTAACATAGGCAAAATACATATATATGAAAATATTCTATCAATTTGAATCTGACAAAAAGGGATTGTATAAGCCTATACCTTTTTACAGAAAACCGTATCATGCTTCCCTTTCTAATCACATGATGTCTGTCCGACCGGCTTATGAATTTTCCTCCATCTCCTTTCTAAATAAAAGAGGATATCAAATATGATTAAACATATTTGAACAGGAAAGAAAAAGATTGTTCAATTTGAAATATAAGTGATGTTCATTCAGATTTATACAGGAAAGAAAAAGTTTGCTAACCACCAAACCACTAATGTTTACAGTCTCAACCATTTCTTTGTATCCATAAAAAAAACAATTTCTTTGTACAGGATAACATGAATAGCTTTTCCCTATCAATTAATCAGAAGTTTATCCCCCCTCCTTGTTAAGAGAAAAGCTGGTCTTACTCTTTTGAACTTGAACTTCTCATTAATATCATCTGCCATGATGGCGGCTGAGAAAACCCCTAGCACAATGGCATGAATTGATTCCTTCCCAAGCAGTTCAACCTTCCCTTCTAAAGTTAGAAAACATTTAAACATCAGAATGGTTTGAATTTTTACCATATTTTCAGCTAATAGAAATGTAACGGTCTCAAAGATATTACAAAACAATACAAACAACATTGATCTCTTCAAGATGCTGCAATTTCATATAATTAGTATAACATGATTATATGAACTGACAAGAGAAATGCTATTCGGCAGGGATGATGGATTCCACCAACAATCCAACTTACCAAGGATCATGTCTGGTTGGGGAGAATAGAGCAGCAGATTCGCATGGACCGGTACACCGAAATATGGTACCAAACCATTCAGAATCTTCGCTCGATCACCATTCACAACAACCTCATGAGCTAGCAAAACGCCTTCAAAGCGATCTTCATACCTGTGTAGGATTTCTACCAAGTCACCCAAATGGCTCACATACATATACCAAAACTCCCAAAACAAAGAAAGGAAAACAATAAGATTGAATCTTGCAATAGCTTGAGAGCACAAGAAGCATGGTTTGAGGGTGTACATCTTCCATAACCCAGTACACCATCTCCCTGAAACTTCTAGTCTAGTTTAGCTGCATCAAACTGCTTCCTCACATCACTAGCAGCAGAATGCGGACCGCAAATCGATTCGATTCAGCTCCAAACTACGCAACTCATGAGCAACAGGAAGCCACGCAATCTGTCTCCTCTAATCGAAGATTCTCACCCGATCTAGCGACATACACGGCCGAGTCGAACTCTTCACTAGCTCACGCGAGGCCAGAGGGATGGGAGGAGATGGGGAGAGGGAGGGGCGGGGACTCACGAGAAGAGGGTGGTGCTGAGCTGGCGGGAGACGGCGCGGCGTACGTCGGCGGCGTTGGAGGGGTGCACGTACACCGTCAGCTCGGCCTCCGCCTCCCGGAGCGCCTCCATCCCGGCGGCGGCGGCGGCGGCGGCGGCGCAAAACCCTAAACCCTAGGCGGCGGCCGGACTCGAGCGTTGGGAGAGAGAAGGAAAACCGCGCGCGCCGTAGCAACCGGGGAGCACGTGCGTGGTAGTGGGTATACTATGGGCAGCCCACAGGCCGATCTGACAGCCTCTGCTAGGCCCAGTTTCTTTTTTTTCCTAGTGGACTGTTGTTGTTGCTACTGAGAGAGAGAGTGAGATCGATACAAAAAATTCAACGAAATGGCAAATATTGAATGTTCTCAAATCTCAAATCTTTTCATTATTTTCAAAACATGGTAAACACATGCCAGCATATTTTGAGATTCACGAAGTTATCGTAGATGTATCGTTGTCGAGAGGTAAATCGTCTACCACTGAAATAATAATTAGCCATAAATACGATCGTTTGTGCCAAGTCTAGACTTAAACACGGATATGTTAGTTCCACCACCAAAATCCTATTCAGTTGAGTTACGCAGCCTATGCTCAAAGTTTTACATCTTAAATGTATGTTTGTTCCCATATAAGTCCTTTTAAGGTGCAAGACTATATTTACCGTGAAAATTATACTGTCGTGTGTCCCCTCCATTCAAAAATATAATTATATTTACATATAAAAAATTACATATTTTTCAAAATATATCTAGACAGAGAGATGTATAGATATATTTTGAATTATTGTGCATAAGTGCTTATATTTTAGAATGGATGCAATATTTAGCAATAAAGTTACTTTAATACTTCATATCTAACCTATTACTTCCTCTGTTACAAAATAAGTTTGCTTTTTTCAACCTCTCATTTATCTCGAAATAAGTTTATTTTTAAGCAATCAAGTTTGAGATAGTAATGCTAGTGCTCAAAAGTTATGTTTGGTTGAAAAAGTCTATGCTAGATACATAGTTTTTAGTCCTAGTTGTTTGTTCTTTAGCATTGTTGTTCGATGAATTTTACTCCCAATTATATTTTATTATTTAAGTTTTATGTTGGATTAGGCATTAGCACTCCTTTTCACTTTAAACCATGTTTTGTCATCAACTTTTTTGCATTTTGGTTGTGTCTTGTTCATCCATCCTCCGGAGCAAACATGACACATTGACGATCTCCTCGCCTCTCGCCAATGAACTCTTATCCTCTCTTATCCAAATAGAGATAGGATGTTAGATCGTTAACTTGAGCACAGTGGATGTAGAGGCATGGAACCAGCACAAAGCTTGTCCATCGAACTTTACTCCCTAATGTGCTTAGCTTCAGCAGTGGCGGTTTCCGGTGGAATGGTAGCGTGGGCGCCAACATGCTAAGGCACCGAAGGTCTCAAGGAAGGGGTTGGCAAGCTCGAACATGGTCGATGTCGAGGCGCTAAAGGTTTCAGGGAAGGGGTTAGTAAGTTCCTCTCCTCCGCAAATGGCGACCAACCCCTTGACCCATGCATTTTGATCTATAGCTCGAGTTCAGTCGATGAGCTTGGCCTCCATAGGTAAGGTGTTAGTGGGAGAGAATAAGATGAGAGGAAAGACTTTAGTTAGCAACTGACATGTGAGTCACTAGTCTAATACGAAAGATTTAGTAAGAATATCTATCCACTTTAAGTGAAATTATTTGTTAGCATCAGGTCTATAATGAAACATAGATAAGAAAAAAGATCTAAGGTGTAATTTAATCTCTTTTAAATGTATAGTTTTATTATTGAATTATCCTTCTAAAACATTCATAAATTTTTGTGAGATATATGGATGTTCTTTTTCAGTTCATTTCAAATCATCTTAACATCTCTTTGGCTAAACTAGATTTCTCCTCTTAACCCCCTCTCTCTCCTCCACCGTCATCTCATCTCATCGCCCTCCTTTCGCTTTCACGGTTTCACTCCCCGACGACCCCCCCCCCCCCCCCCAAACCCCCCCGCAGCCATGCGCTCGCTTATCCGAAGCGCCTCCTCCCGCCTCCTCCGCGCTCGCGCCCGCGCCATGGCCACGCCCTCCGCCGCGCGCTTCTCCCCCTCCTCCAACCCCGCGCGCCCTCCTCCTCCTCGCCTCCCGCTCCCCCGCTTCCTTCCGCCGACCCCGCCGCAGGCGCTGCTCCGGGCGAGGCCTCTCCGGACCTCGGCTGCCGTTGCCGCGGCCGCGGCCGTCGTGGAGGTGGGCGGCGTCAAGATCGCGCGGGAGGGTGAGTCATCGCCTGGATACCGGCATAAATGGCGGGGATCTTGGGACAGCGAATTGTGAATTTGTCACTCGGCGGTGTAGATTTTAGTTGGGTAGTACGCTCGTGCTGAACGCATTTGCTGAAGATAGTGTGGTGGGTTTGCGTAGTCGCTGCGTCCGTGAAGCTTGGTATCTGTAGCGTGTGCATTGCTCAAGATCAGTGTGGTTTTAGTGGGGGGTTTACTATTGTCGTCGCGTCCGGGAATCAAGGCACCTGTAGCTCGTGCGTGCGTGAATTGCTATCCTTATGATGGTCCAAATCCCAGAATGGTTTTGAGTTTATGGGCAGGTAGCTTCTTGATCTTGGCGGTACTTTAGCTGCATCGTTCAAAGCATCACATTATATGGCCTGAATTGAATATGTCAAAACTGTCGAAACTCTGGTGGGAATTGAGCTACGATGTGTGTGAAGTTAACTGCTGCTGATTTTTTTTTCTTTTTTTGAAGTGACTCATTTTTATGGCAATTGTAGATGTCGTGAAGGAGGAGGACCCAACAAACAACGTTCCGGACACGATCTACTCAAAGATTGGCCTGCAGCTGCACAGGAGGGATAATCACCCTCTAGGGATTCTGAAGAACACTATTTACGACTACTTTGACAAGAATTTCTCTGGGAACTTTAACAAGTTCGATGACCTCTGCCCTCTTGTTTCTATCAAGCAGGTATGAGTTAGCAGTTGGCCTGATGTGTTCAACTGCTTATTCCTTCCCTTTTGTGCTGATTTCCACTGGGCTAGTGAATTTCGCTTTGTGCACTTGTTTTTCTTTTTTTCAGATTCTCGCACACCTTGTGTAACAGTGTACTTTGAACCATATGATTATTGCTGACCCCAAGGTCATGCTTGCTGCAGAATTTTGATGATGTCCTGGTCCCTGCTGATCATGTGAGTCGGAGTTACAATGACACATACTATGTTGATGCTCAAACTGTCTTGCGGTGTCATACCAGCGCTCATCAAGCAGAGCTGCTAAGGGATGGACACACACATTTCCTTGTAACTGGGGATGTTTATCGTAGGGATTCTATTGATTCAACTCACTATCCTTGCTTCCATCAGGTAAATGTAACGCCATATCACTTGAAATATTTCCAAAGAAAGGTTTGTGTTGATGATTTTTTGTACATGCAGATGGAGGGCTTCCGTGTCTTCACTCCAGATGAATGGTCAGATTCTGGCATGGATGGGACAGCATATGCAGCTGCAGACCTCAAGAAAACACTGGAAGGCTTGGCAAAACATCTCTTTGGTAAACTAGTTATAGTTAGTTCTGTCTTTGTCACCAAAGAAATTTATCAAATATATATGCATTGGTTTAAATATAAAGAAACATGTGTGCAGGTGCTGTGGAAATGCGATGGGTTGACACATACTTCCCATTCACTAACCCGTCCTTTGAACTCGAGATATATTTTCAGGTCGCTATACAAGTGGATCTACCTATTCTTTATGGCCTGATGCCAAGTAAAGCTTGTTGCACAACTTATGTTGGCATGATTGTTGTTTGAAGAACTCTCTCACCTTTGCAGGATGATTGGTTGGAAGTTCTGGGATGTGGAGTCACTGAGCAGGAAATTTTGAAAAACAACGGCAGGATAGATAATGTGGCATGGGCCTTTGGACTAGGTTTGGAGCGCTTAGCAATGGTCCTGTTTGATATTCCAGATATTCGACTCTTTTGGTCAAATGATAAGCGATTCACATCCCAGGTATTGCTACTATTAGTTATCCATCTATTTGGGTAATCTATTCTGCGCTAGTTTAGATTCAGTAAAGAATGCAAAATCATGAATGTATCTGCGAAAAATTGTTTATATCGAGTTGACTACTATGACCTTCCATCTGTCTTGCAATGATGTGTAAACCTGTTGCTGACATTAAGGTTCTGTGGCCTTGGAATCTTTCTTAGAATGATTTGGTGAAATATATGTTCTTTTGTCCTGATATAGTTCACTAGTAATAAATGATGGTTTTTGTTTTACCCTATGCTCAACACTTTAAATACCTTCTTTAGTTAATTACTTAATTTATCATATTTTTAAGAACCAACTTCTTGTATACCACTTATTATGACATATTGACATCAGTGGCATATAGGGGATGGGCCGGTAGGGTGAACTTTTCAGTGTCTGAATCACCCCTATTTTTTAAGTGTCTGCAGCAATATTTGTTACAGGATCTAGTTAGTAATTCATAGCTTTGTTGACCTAACTTGGGATTGGCAAGTCTGTCCTGCCTTCATTGCATTTACTCTTATAACTTTATGGCTAAGATGTGAGTATTGTTATACAATTTTATGGCTAAAATGTGCATATTATTATCTTTCAGTTTTCAGAAGGCAAACTTGGTGTCAAGTTTAAGCCATTCTCAAAGGTATGTAACCACAACTTTCCTTTACCTTATGTGTAATTTATTACCTATACATAATCTTTTGTAGAATAGTTCTGTTTGATATGGCAAGTGGTTCTTCATCTGCTTTGGAAAAGGCTACATATTTAAATAACTATAATACTGGAGATAACAGCTCCTATTGGGCTGGACTCCTTTGAATATGAAAGAAAGCATGTTCACTGGAACAGATTAAACCATTTTTTTTCTGTGCTTGATTAAACCAAAAAAATGTCCTGAAAAAGTGTGCCCTACATTATTTGGAAAATCTAGCAGAGAAATGTAGTTAATAATGAGGCATTCAAATATGAAATCTTGTACATTATGATTTGCATTTGTAACACCCCAACCCTCCATGGGCTCCTGGAGCTCTACTCCAACTACACCTCAACATAACCAACATTAGAAATAAATTTCAGCATGTTTTATATTGCTTATATTGAATCTTTGAGGATCGTATCCAATATACATGCCATGTAGAAAAAGTAATAACCAAAAGAGAAGATTAGAAAGAGCACAAGTTCTCTTAGGAAGAGAGAGATAGTATCTATCACTTATTGTCAGTAATTCCAGCAGGTTATCAATCTTTTGCCTGTTAGCTGTTAGCTGCTGGAATTAGTGATTATGTTTAGAGGATGCTATCTGCCACCTAAGTTGTTTCTCTCTCTTAATCATTTCATTGCTACATAATGACCTGTTCCCTTCAATGGTTCAATACTAGAAATGTATGACCTGTAAAATACATCTGTAATGTTGAGTTGTAACGCATCTAGTTCCTGTGGATGGCTAGATTGGTTAACATCAGTTACCATAAATATATGTTTACATTTTATGAAGTTGCATCAAGCATATCCACCAATAATTTTTTACATGTTTATTTTTGTATATAAATTGCCCTCTGACTTTTTTCCCTTTTCCTTTTTCTGCTGTTCTACAGTTTCCACCTTGCTACAAGGATATGAGTTTTTGGATCAATGAAGAGTTTACAGAGAACAATTTATGTGAGGTTGTCAGAGGAATTGCTGGAGATCTTGTAGAGGAGGTATGCGCCCAGTAAATTTGGTACATAGCTATACATTTAACTTGCGACACTTGACTTTAATTTAGTCATTTCAAGTTTGTTTCATTGTATGATCCCTCACTTCTTGCCTACTGTACATTGTATTTGCAATAATAAGTGGTACTGTACTTCAAACAATAGCATTAACACTAAGGTATTAAGGCTCCTGATTTGGTGAAGTATTCGTTTATTCGGGGAATAAGCGAAATGACATATTTGCAAACGAAAAATAATTTGTGAATAAAACTTTTATATACGTATTCTTAGCGATCTAAAAGCAAAGTCTGAAAAATAATCCTTGATGAAAAAACCCCAAAATCAACTTCAAATTTAAGGTTGAAAATTCAAATTTTGGCTGATAAGCATAATCATAAGTGAAAAGATAAGGTCAACTTCAAATTTATGGTTAAAAATGCAAATTTTGGCTGATTAACATAAGCATAAGCGAAAAGATGAGGCCGTATATCTGCTGGTCTTAACAAGCTGATAATTTTGTATTATTTATATTTCTATTGCTAATATTATGCGCCTTTAGCTCATTATGATGCTCGTCATAATATTAGCATCTAACTGATGAATCTAGGTGCCTAACTTTGTGCGTCTAACATTACCAGTATGATGATACACTGGAATTTATTGTGCTCGTCATAATTTTATCAGGCTAAAGTGTTGTTCGTTTGCAGGTAAAACTAATTGACAATTTCACCAACAAGAAAGGAATGACGAGCCATTGCTACAGGATAGCCTATAGGTCAATGGAACGTTCACTTACCGATGAGGAGATCAACGACATGCAGGTTACATTCGACGACATCTATGATTTTAGATGATATTCCTTGGTTTTTATACTGAACATGTCTACAATTTGGTTGCAGTGGAATGTCAGAGAAGAGGTGCAAAATAAACTGAAAGTTGAGTTGAGATGAAATAGAGCTAGTTCACGTGTTCGACCAGACATTGATTGTTTGACCATTTTCGTCTGTACATTCATTCAAAAGTGTGTTGATATATGGAGAAAATTTTATCAGTTTCCTGATGATCCTTGTAATCTGCTGAGATCAAAGTCCCTAAGCAATTTAGCATCATCCGCACGCCATGACTGTAACGATAATAAGACGGTGCTCAATTTTGAATCAAACTAATATACAGAAAAACAAAACAAACAGCCATTTTGCAGCTCTTATTTTTCTTCATTTGAGCAGATTTAGAATCTGTATGACAGTATGTTCATGTTCAGACTTCAGACAGGAGATTGAACATACAAGAGTTTTGGAAGATTTATTCAGAACAATTTCATGTATTAAACTAACTGAAACTATCATGTCTGCTTTCTTCCATATACCTTGTTTGTCAAATAATTGTTATTTGACAAGAAAGTGTGTAACTAAACTTTTGTAACAAATAGAATTACATCATTGAATTGCAAGAACAAAAATTCTGAGAGGAGTTAAAAGTTCAGATGGAATCCCCATCGATGAATTTTTCTGATAATGAATGCGGAAAATAATGCCTTGAATTAAAGGGGAAAAAAAATGCCCTCCGACTAAACATCTATTGGTCTGCATCTTCCTAGTCATGGAGTACTAGCACTAAATAGCAGTCATTCCTGCGAGTTCACGAAGCTTCTCACACACAACGAAGGTGATTGCTGTCTGAGGACCTAATCTTGCAAAGGTGGCAAACCCACTGAAAAATGAGAGAACTTGTCAGGAAATATTGGTAAAAGAACATACTATATGATTAGTGGGGATGATTAATTCATGTATAACATGTATGTATTGACAAACAGAACTTTAAATTTCTAACTTTTAATGCTCCAAAGCTTTAAATCGATGGATATGCATACATAAACAGAGATTTGGGTAGTAATGAATAAAGAGATGCCACTGATAATCTGCAATATTTTCTATAAGTATGCGAATAAAGCTACCATGGATTTATCCTTTCTAAGCTTAAATCGATTAAAAAATTATTAGCATGCTATGCGGGGAACCCACCCTTTATAAAGCGACGTTACACCCTCTGTCACCACAACCTGTAAACCAAGAAAGGCTGAGATATCAGAAGAACATCGAATGTGTATGAAATACATTAGCTGACGGATTAAAAAAAGGTCACATAAACCAAAGTTGAAGATTTAATTAGGTGTTTTAGATCTATAATTAAAGGAAATGGGCATATGATGAAACTTTTTATCCTTCATTTCAAACATAAATTATTCACAGCATATGCACTGCACATCATCCGACAATTTGTAGCAACCACCTCTTCTATTGCGCCCCTGCTAACTAATATCTCTCCATTTCTTTTGTTTGATGTGGGTTAGTTCAAAATTGAACTAATCAACGTCATATATTTGGAAACAGAGGTAGTATCTCAATCTGATGCTGCTTTTAGTGATGAATTTTAGCATTTTGCTAGCAGTTCCTTATTTTGGGTGAGGGCAAAGTTTGCTAACAGTTCCTAATTTCACAACAGAAACATAAGATCAGGACGAATACCTGATAACCACAATGGAAGCCATTCCTGTATACTCTGGCACCTTTGCACTCACGCTGCAACATTAACCTTGTTTTGATCATGTCTATAGGTGCAGTCACAAGAGTACTAGCTGTTCCCGCTACGCAACTCGACCTTTGATCAGACAGAAAATAGCTGTCAATTTATTTCATTGAAGGATAGTCATGGAAATGCAGGAAAAGAATTCACAGTACATGAGATGTAATTGGGGACCTTCTTCAAGTGGCGTCCACTTCAGCAATGCCTAAAGCAAATAGAGGAGAAAAAACATAAGCAGAGCTATTTAAACGGCTGGCAGAAGACGTACCAGAACGGTGCATACCTGCTTAGCCTCATCATAAGTAGCCATCTGTGATGCCGTGAGGCAGCCCGCCCTTGCCATTGCTGGGCCAACTCCTTTCCAAAGTGCTTTGACCCCTTCCTCTGCTACAATTTTCTTAAGCACCCCGATTGTACTGGTTCTGCTTGGACTCATTTGCGATCTCACCTATACAATGTGTTTAATCCATATCAAGTTCATATAACAAGTCATGGAGTTTTTTCTAATGAAGTACATACCTCAATAGCATACCTTCAAAACCTCTGTTGGATTTGTCAACGCAGTTGCTAGGGCGCCCGCAATTACTCCAGATGCAAACTTAAAAGCGAAGTTTGTTGATCCAAATGCATAATTGCAGACATATTTGCAGGGCTCATATAACCCTAATCGAAGGCCACCGTAGATGACAGATCTAGTCAATGCTGGTGCCAGTCCCAGGTAGAGTGATCGAGGCCCTTCCACTTGTACCATTTGTGTAAATATTGTCCCCTGACAGGTTGCAGTGTTTCATAGTATTAACATAGTTGGAAATAAATTTAGCATAGCAAACGTTATATATAGGATTATGTAGTGTGAGACTGAGTACCATTCCAACTAAGTTTCCTCTTTGCCCAGCAAGCTGCATTTGGAGCCTAACTTTGATAACATCTGCAGAAAAAAAAATGATATATAAGGAGTTACTTATGTCCCAGAGAAACAAATATATGCAAAGAAGAAAAACCATTTCTTTGCTATATTATCAGCATCGGCGCAGTTATAAGCAAATTGCCTCGATTTAATTCAGAAATATGTCCGTGGTTCTGCAAGATGAATAACGAATTTGCTTGTGTGTTCTCTACCTCTCTTCCATTTTAGTTAATATTATAACTTACTTTAACTCAACATTTGTACCACTTTTGTCTGTGATGCATGACAGTTACTCGGTATAGTAGATGAAACCGGTCTGTCACATTCTTCATTCATCATTTTTTTCTCTCAAAAAAGCAACAAGCTATGAAATATGTTTGAACATTGGAAGCTCACTTGGTTGGAAATTAGAATCTGAATCAAGAGCACAATTCCTTCAGTGCGATAAGCATCAACTTGCCAAGAAAATTGCACGGGAACACTCAATATTTCACACTAAATTACATCCATCCTTTCTCCAGTACTCATTTCACCTTGTTTCAGTTGGAATAAGATTACTATACCACCCCAAAACCAACCAAAACCAGTTCTTCTTTTTTCCTGGTTCACTCCACACAATCTACTCCACAAATTAACATCGCTTACATCTGATGGATGAAACTAAACCTGAATCATCAGCACCCCAATTTTGCAAGCCAATCTCCTTGCTCCCATTCCCCAATCCCACACTACTACTACTATACCTCACACTTCCAAGAGCTGATTAAACATGGCATAAAAAACCTAGCTAATTAAGCTCCAAATGCTCCACATCTCCTCCTCCTCCTAGGGTTTCCCCATTTCCATCCCCAACCTAACACAAGAACAACTAGGAGTAGCGTGCAAAGAGAAAGTAGGTGGGGGCTGACTGAGACTGACCGAGCGGGTGCGTGACGGCAGTGGCGGCGGCGACGGCGGCGCCGCTGGTGCCGAAGTGGTACAGCGCGCCGCCGTGCCCCGGCTGCATTCCTCTTCCTGATCTCGGATGGAATTCAATCAAATCGCCCTGGAAGGAAAAAAAGATCGGCGAGAAAGTAGAAAAAAAAAAGAGGAGAATTTTGTTTTCTTAGCTCTCGACCACGCGAGGCAGGGAATGAGGGAGGAGGAATCGATCGACGCGAGAGATAGTTTCAAGAAGCGAAGAAAAGAAGAAAAAAAAGATTGGACGGGATAATCTTAGTCCAAGAAGCAAAGGATTGGAGGAGAAGGAAGGAATCAAAGATCGAAGATTCAGAGGAGCAAGAAACTGGGATTCAAGAACAGAAAAAGGTGAGAAGAAGAAGAAGGAGAAGAAGATTGCGGTGGCAAATTCTGCTCCTATTCGCGTGGAGAATGCGAGGAAACGAACCCGGAGCGGGATATTCACGCACACCCTTCTCTTTTCCTGTGGGTGATTGCGTCGATGGCGATGCGGTAGTGAATTATTCGATGCGTTTTGTAAAGGAGAATAAATTTTGTTCTACGATGTTGACATCGAAGGGCATTTGGTCTAGTGGTATGATTCTCGCTTAGGGTGCGAGAGGTCCCGAGTTCAATTCTCGGAATGCCCCTATTATTTTTAGGTTTTTTTAATCTTGTTTTTCGTTCTTCACTTGCGCTTTCCTCTCGTCTTTTTCTGTTTTCATTGCGTTTTTCTCTCCCATTTTTCTGTTTTTCTTTTTGTATCTTCCTCTATCCTTTTTCCTTTTTTTTCACTTCTTCCCTTATCTTTTTTATGTTTTCAATTTTTGTCCGGAATTATTGCTCTTTTTTTTCATTACATTTTCCTCTCCCTTTTTTCTGCTTTTTTTTTGTTTCTTCCTCTATCTTTTTTTCTGTTCGTTTTTTTCCTTCTTCCTCTTATCTTTTTTCTGTCTTCAATTTTTTTCCAGAACTATTGCTTTTTTTTCCCTCTCCTCTTCTGCTGCTGCTGCTGCTTCTTCTTCTTTCTCTTCTTTCTCTTTTTTCCTTTTTTTTTTTTGTTATTGCTGTTGTTCAAATCCCTGGTTTGGTTGTCCCTGTAGCCATCTGGCATGGTATATTCTTTAGGGAAAAAAAGGTATATTTTATTCCTGCGAACCAAAACAGGCTAACATGGAAGGCAGCAAACTTTGTTCTCTGAAAGTTGGTTTTTGTACCATTCAGGTGGCACATGTTTAATTTTGTACTACTTAATACTCTCGAAAGTTTCGACAAAATTTCATGATTTACCCTCATGAAATCTCCAAACAAGCTTCCTTATTTGATCTTTGATGCAACCAATCTCCAAACAAGCTTTCCTTACCGATCTTTCATGCAACCATCTAGGGGCAAAAAAGAAACTTGTCCAATACAAAAATGTAATACAATTTGACAAAGTTTGAGTTGAAACCATCTCACGATCTACCCATAAATATAACGGTGAACTCAACCAGAGACTCACAAACGAGCCTTGTGTGCTGTGATCCCAGCTGCCTTCATTGCGTCAGGATTGTCCAAGGAATTCGCCAGTGCTCGGAATTTACAATCAACCACTGAAAAATAAAGATGATGACATTTCAGTTTTTTTTCTCTCCACTGGCAATGTTAGATGTTCGCAACCATTAAATTATTATTACAAGCATTTAACAGGTTTTGCAGCCTTGATAACATATAATCTCTCTACGAAGGTTGCGCTAGAATGTATCTTTGTTGAACACCAAGCTAATCAGAAATATGGTATAATATGTGAACATACTGATACTGAATCTTCACAATCAACAGGGTAATTGCAATAAAATGGAACCAATATCCGACATGGTTTACAAACAGCGGTTTCTAAAAGTTAAGGATGAACTAGAACCGATTTTGTAGACATTATGATCGAAGGGAAGGTTGCTCTTTGGACAAACCTTACTGTATCTTTGTCAGAACAATATCACGCATCAAGCTATCTGGAGCTGTATGACGAGGCATATGAAAAATAATGTAAGACATACTACTATAGAGGAGAGCTTGTGTGCTGGCATAAAGAAAAGGAAGAAACAAATGTAAATACCTGGCATGCCTGTAAAATGCTCAAATTGACCCATTGCTTGCCTTATGAACATCTCCAAACCGCTAACTACTGTGGCTCCACACTCTGCGGCCTCTCGGAGAAGTCTGGTCTCTTTTGGTGTATACACCGCGTCGAAGACAACGGCATAAGATTTAAGTGCTTGCTGCAAAATTATGATTTGTCATTACATGTAGCTATGAAGGCAGAAGGTACTGAATACAAATGTCATCAAGTAAGTCTAATTCAGAACCTTGGATAAAGGAGTTTCATTGACATTTGGATGCATTCCAATTGCAGTTGTGTTTGCAAGAATCATTTCTTCCTCTGGATGGTAATTTTCCAACTCCGCCAAAGTCAGAGCAGGCGCACCAAGTAAGTTGCCAAGTTCTTGAGCACGCGCTGGAAAATAGAAGGCATAAATATATGTTGAGTTCAGAACATCATGCTCATTGTCCTATCACACCTTTATCTTAACAAACCATTTGGCGGAAAATACAAATTTAAGAAAAAGAAACACTAACAAACTTAAGTACACAATAAATATCAATTAAAAGCCCGTAGTGCAAAGGTATCAACTGTTCCGTGGAGCACCCCAACTAGATTGCTCCAAACCAACCAACACATGAATATAGGCATGGGAGCTTTTGAAGAAAAAAAAACTAGTGTAAAATCATATGTTCTCCATCAGTTATAAAATTCAAATTTGAATTGGATCTACATATCCAGAAACAAAATCAAGTGTGTTCGAGGAAAAAAAAATCCAGAAACAAAAGGGACAAACCTCAGTGAACAATTTCCCTTTTTATTTTTCAGCAGAATTTTTCCTTTTTATTTCCTGATGTGTAATTTTAAATTTTGTGGAGTGATGGAGTACATCAAACTCTATGCTACCATTTTTATTTTCAAATCCTCATTATGACTATTTGCGCGTGTTTTGGTTGGTATGGAGCCCCAACTAACGTGTTCAATGGAGCGCTAGATATCTTGTCAGCATGTACTAGTTATAGCCAGGGTAGTAATTTTGGACCCAAAAGGTCTGAGCATTTTTACATGACCTTGCTACGAAAGGTTCTCAATAGTGAATACTTCTCAGAAACAACACACTTTTTTTTTGCCGGGACAGAAACAACACACTCAAAATTATTCAAATGGAATGGCACTGTTTATGGTTAAATTTAAATCAGTATAAAATGAAGTTATGGAAAATGTGCATACCAAAAGTACGGTTTGCTATTACAACTCGTGCTCCCTTCTCTTTTGCACCATAAGCTAGTGCTTTCCCTGCACCACCAGCTCCAATAACAACAAAAAGCCTCCCAGCCAATGGTGAAGTGGTAGTATCCGTTGGTTGCGAAGCTAAAAATTGATTTAGCACACACTTCAATGAATACTAATCAGCAAGATACTGGAATATAAAGTATTATGCGTGTAGAGACCTCTTATTCCATCCTCAATAGCAGAAATTGCACCAACATAGTCAGTATTGTAGCCTACAAGTTTTCCATTAGGTTTTCTGATGATTGTATTGACAGCTCCAATGTCCTGGACAAAATTATTGCTTACAAATGTTACTCTGGATTTATTGAAGGGTTCAAGAATATCCTAAATGGAAAAGCAAAAAAGCAGATAAAATCACCTTGGCGATAGGATCAACTTCATCACAGCACCTAACAGCAGCTTCCTTATGGGGAATTGTGCAACTGCAGTCCAAATAATTAGATGAAATGGATAATGGTTATACACATGGAGTATTAGAGCATGGGGTCAAGAAATAAAACTGAAACAGAAATTGTGTACCTAAAACCAGCAAACTCTGGTGAAGAGTATGTATTAAGAAAGTTAGCCAGGTCGTCCACCAAAAAGGGCACATATACAGCATTGAGACCCACTGATCTGAAAGCTTCATTATGCAAAATTGGGCTTTTACTGTGGCCAACAGGTTTTCCGATAATACCATACACCTTAGTATCTGGACCAATCTGTTTAATATTGTACACATTAATCAAGTCTGTTACTGTGGGCTGAGCAGGCGCAGATTCTTTTCCTTTTTCAAGAGAGCCAAAAGTAAGGTATCCTCCAAATTTGGGGCAGAGCACTCGAGAGATAAAACCTCTATCATTCATCACCAGTCCAATGATTGGCACCTGCTTTTCCTAATTCATTATTCAAATAAAACATATTGTGAATTAGGAATCATATTAAAGAACTTGAGAAATGAAGCATGGGCATCGGCATATAGCATAATATTTTTCTCAAATGTGAGAACTCCTGAATCAACAAGCTGTGCATTTTAAGTCCATTATCCTAACTAGCTACTCTACTCTATCATGTCTTAAAAGTTATATTACTGTATACTTTTGCTAACAAAAATAAAAGAAAGATGCCTTACACTAGATGACAAGGATTCAATCACCCGTGATGATTTATGTTTCTTATGTATGGGAAATTACACCTTCATTACAGTCCAACTGTGCACTAATAATCTGTGTGTAGAAGTAGCAACTATTCTAACCCTGGATACTGGCACACCTTATTACCGAGAGAGCCATTTTACCGACCTGCTTTTGAATGAAGAAATCCTTAGAATGTTAGCATGTTCATTACCAATTATTGTAGTGAGGATATGCTGATAATAGTGCAGATTTAACTAAAGTATAATTCTCATCGACAACTTAGCGTTTATAAAGCTAACGGCCAACGAGAGACTGCAAGCTAGCGAGGCAACAGAAAACAGATAAGTGGATTATATTCTCAATACAAGAAATAAATACCAAGACACTAACACCTATGGATATAAAACTTGAATAGAATCAGATGGTAAACTCACTTGGCAATGTACAAGTATTTGAAACATTTTTGCCACATCAACAATTTCGGTGGCGGTGGTTGCAATTTTCACTATGTCAGCTCCTGTTGCTTGTATCTGAGCCACCAAATTTTCGAGCTCCTCTGTTGAAGGAGTGTTCTCAAAGTTATGGGATGAAACAATAAGCTTACATGTTTCAGGTTTCTTTCCAGAAATGAGTTTCATAAATTTGTCAGCGACCTGCGTAACAAGAGGGTTACTATCAATTGATTTGTTGGTTTGGAATACACAGCTAACAAGTACAGCTTTTTCAATACTGATCATTTTACATAAGAGTTTATTTCAGTGATTTAGGAACTTGACATTGTAAGCTTAAACTGGCAGATAAATAAGTATCAGTATTGCAACCAAATGAAAAGGAACTTTTGATCTGGGTAAGAAACTAGACAGACTTACATTGTTCATTCCATTTAGCTTAAAGTAATGACAAATACTAAATCAAATCGCAAATATCTCTTTGAGAAGTTTGCGCACATGAATATACATAATCTTATGGTTCACAGAGAAAATGGAGTGAGGGTAAACCCAACCTTAAGCTCAATATCAACATATTCAGCCCCCATTTCCATTGCCAATAGAAGCGCCTCGAATCGTGGCTCGTCATCGCCTTCATATTCACCTCCTTCCCACTTCGGCCTACACAAGAAAAATCAAAAAAAATTGCTTAGCTTTTTAAATGCTGCAAACAATCCGAAATGTCCACAGGAGTAATAACCAGATGATACAATTCCCAAGTGCCTGTCTTATGATGACAGATTCTTCCTTCTCCATTCAGTTCTGCTGAATAAAACCTATTAATATCTAAATTCCCAAGATGCAATTCCGAATTGGAATCCACCGAGAAGTTCTCTAACATGTGCAGTGCAATTCCCCACCACACCACACCAACCTCGAGCGAGGGAGGAGGGGGCTCACCTGTAGGTGACGAGGGCGGGGAGCGGGCGCGGCTGCGCGAGGAGGACGGGGAGGTCCCGGCGGGGCGCGAAGCCGGCGAGGCGGTCGAGCCGGAGCTCCGCCACGTCGGCGCCGAGCGCCGCGGCGGCCGCCAACTCCGCCGCCATCTCCCGCGGCGCCCGCGCCGTCGCCGGCACGCAGAGCAGCGTCCTGGCCCGTGCCACCGCCGCCGCCGCCGACGGGGGCACCATCGCCGACGCCGACATCGCCGGAGCAGCAGGAGGAGGAGGAGGGACGGCCGCGTCGTGTGGCGGCTATAGTACGGTGGTTGGTGGAGTGGTGGGAATGGGGGTTTTATACTCTCTCGATTTTGGATGGTTTTAGACATTTTTTTAAGCTGGTTTTCATTAGCGTTTTTTTTTCAAACTGCTAAACGGGGTATTGATATCGTAAAAAACTCAATTAATTATGTACTAATAGCTTTCTTGTTTTTGTGTACCGTATTTAACAATTATATTCATCACTACCGGTGTGGCACGAATTCGATGTGGCATGTGACAACAAAGCACACCAGATCCAACGTGGGATAGGAGAGGTTGACACGTCAGATGATGACATTGTGAGAGCATGTTTACCATAGTACCATAATAGGCTCATGTATCATAGAGGTGTGAAAACCATTACATTCACATTGTTGACTTATTGTAAGACAAGATAACTGATTTTATAAAGATAACGCTTCTAGCTAGGTTTGAATGTGTCGATTTTTATTAGATTTGTAGTATTTTTCTATTATTAACTTTGAGAGTAAAACTTTCATGATGGATTGTTTTTAGAAATATCTCTGTTGGTGGCTGTTTATATTCGTAGAACTACAGCCGCCTAATGCTTACCTTGAAGGGAAAGAGGCGGGCTATGATTTTCTTATCCAATTAACCCCACAGCCAAGCTAAGCTATTTTTGTAACCTGTTACTACCTTCATCCTGAAATATGAGTAATTGACCTATAAATCAATCATGCATCCAAATCTTATCACCGTCATAGCCATCGAAGCCAATCTGATAAAGACTACGCCACACTAGTAAGGGAATATTCAATATGGGGCATCCACGAAGGTTGTGACATCTAGGATGATGTCATTGCATTCCATCCTGAACTAGGTTTTACGTGGAGAGCTCACCTTGAGACACAAAGGTGATAGAGAGGGTGAACAACATCTGAAAGAAAAGTATGTGCCATCTATAGACGTCACGATTTTGGTGCTTCCACTAGCGTTGGCACCCTTGACCTAGATCGTAGCATGTGCAAGTGCAACCTCCTCCACCCTCTCTCGTGTGTGATTATTATGACGCTAAACCAAACGTACCATGACACCATCTAGCGATTTTTCTTATGCGACTTCCACTTAGTATATTTTTTTTCTTATGTGAGTTACACTTGTACATAAATGTTACTTGTTTGTAAACTTAAAAAATACATGCTACAAGTCCAAAAAAAATAGCAAGGGAAAATCCCTACATCCATTAATAGAAAATGAATGGTTGCTCTTTTCATGCCGTCGGGAATGGAAGAGGCTCACGTCCCTCTGACTTTACGTCAGAGGAGCTCCGTCTGCCGGGAATAGCCCTTTGTACCCCATTCTTTTCCTTTGTTTCTCTTTTGTATTTGGTTGTGAGTTGGCTTTGTGAGGCAATATCCTTTAATCTTAATACAAAAATACGTAAATCATTTGCGTATTTTGTAAAAAAGAAATAGAGGTTACCAGATCCAGCTAATGAGAGATAAAACTAAGCACAATTTCTTTTTTTTTCCTCATCCTAACAACCGATCAAGAGGGTGCTAGATTGGGATGAAAACGGAGCGGATAGTTTCCGTCCGATCCGGACAAAAACGGATACGGATACCTTTCGGATCGGATAATTCTCGGATAGTTCAGATATGGATACGAATACGGATATTTTCTCCCGGATACGAATACAAATATGGTATCAGGGATTCCGTCGGATACGGATAATAATTCGGATATCCGGTGAACAGTGCTATTCGGATATCCGCAGGACCCATGAGACATACCCCATTTTTTTCTAACTCTATAACCTTCAATATACCTTTATAGATTTTTAATAGTAGTTTATCTCTTAACACTAGTCCATACTATTAATATTATTTAAATTTTAAAAAATATTTATAAATTATACCTCATTTTATATAAAATGAGCTAATTATATATGTTGATATTTGTTTCTATTAGAAGTTGAGTTGGTTTTCGTGTTCCGAGAAAAAAATGTTTCCGTATTCGTGTCCGATCATATTCGATTCTTATTCGTATTCGAGATAATCCGTATTTGTTTCCGTATTCGAGCTATCCATATTCGTTTTCCTATCCGGTAAAAAATATGAAAACGAATATGGTATGAGCATTATCCGTTCGTATCCGCTCCGTTTTCATCCCTAGCGCTAGAGACTCGAAGCATCCCAGAGATAGAGAAGCAGAGCAACAACTTGTGAAGCAGAAGTTCTCCCTGAAGACCTCTAGCATGGCATCCATCAACACTGCAAAACTAAAAAATAGATTCAACCTAATTTTTTTTTACGGGGAGATTCAACCTAATTTGATTTAAGGTTCAACCCATCCCATCTATCAAACCAAACACACGATTACATCTCACTAATTTCTTTTACTTTTTTCCCTCTTTTTTCCCCTCTTATCATTTTCCCATTCTTTTCTTGTGCCCCACCCCGAGTTTTCATCATGAAGGGTGTCTGGCTAGGAGCAAGAAGGGGGACATACAAGGGCAGAATAAAAAGGACAGGACCAGACACGTGGATGAAAGGGAGAGAAGAGGACTGGCTTGACAAGGATAAAAGGAAAAAGAAGGAGAAAAAGGAGGAAAAAGGAGACAAAGAGGTGATGCCATATTGCATTTAGAAATGGTGCATAGGGGTGTGTTCGATAGCACAGGTTACCAACCGGGGCAACAGTACGCGCGGAAAACGGAGCGGTCTATTAACGTGTGATTAATTAAGTATTAGCTATTTTTTCAAAAATGGATTATTTTGATTTTTTTAAGCAACTTTCGTATATAAACTTTTTTTTAAAAAAACGCACCGTTTAGTAGTTTGAAAAACGTGCGCGTGAAAAACGAGGTAGATGGGTTGAAAAAAGAGGTGCCGAACACACCCGGGCGTGTTCTATACTTCTCCTTTTTCAAATTTTACTTTCTCATTTTTCACATGCACGCTTTCTGACTAAACGATGCGTTTTTTTTCCAAATATGTTCTATAAGAAAGTTGTTTTAAAAATTCATATTAATCACTTTAAAGTTTTTTAAGTTAATACTTAATTAATTAGGCGCAAATGAATCGCTCCATTTTCCGTGTGCAGGGGAGAAATTTCCAAACGGTACATTCAAACACAGCTTTAGGGTTAACACAGTCTAAAAATGCATTTTTTGAGTTTATCGATCAAATGTCACCCGTAAAATAAGTTTAAGAACCATTAGCGTATTTTACTCAAAATCGCATGTGACTGTTGCAAGTACTTACAAGTTACAATTACATGATCACATCATCTTTCAATTTTCTCAACCAAGCGCCCGCCCAGGCACACAAAGAAACCTGATGAACTCAATTCAGTAGACAAAGATCTGAGATGCCAATTCCCTGCTAGGATGGTTCAAAAGCAAAACCCATCTAGCAATTGCTTGGCAATGATCAGTCATCAGATGATGACTCCATCCTCTGCGATATCAAACTCACCGCGGCATTGGCAGCCGAGAACGCGCCGTGGAAGCTCTCCTTGTATGACAGCTTCTGCAGATCTCCCACCATCTTCAGCAAGATCTCTCCCAGGTCAGACTCTTTCGCCGTCAGGGACTCGTAGAATGACCGCGCAGCGGTGTTGCTGATGTCCACATTGGCTGGCTCCGGGCAGTACTCGTCGTCGAGCCACTTGTGCAGTGTTTCCCTCAGCCATTCGGATTCCTGTTGAGAAGTAGAAGTTAATCTCACATATGGTAAACACCAAGATTTCATAACTGCAATGGAGTTGTCATATAGGCACAAGGGACAAATCATCTGTATAATTCGGTATAGGGCAAGCAAGCTGTGGAATCAAACAACAGGGTTTCAGCTAAGAATAAATGCCATTTGTGTTAATATGATCTACTTTCCTATTCAAATCATAATATAAAGGTTATTCACAAGCATCGTTATTTATGCATACAATGCAAAGTTTCCAATTAAGCATCGATTTCTTCGGAACAGGCCATAGGACATCATAGCTTGAATCAGAGACCACAGAGTGACAGGAAAAAAAATGCATTGTTGCATTCAAACAGAAGATAAATGTAAGCAACCAGATGCTCACAAAGCGCATACATTAACACATTGTGATTTCAGGACTAGCATAACACATTCATGTGCACATTTGTTCACTGAAATACCATAACATTTCAAGTTGAACTGCAAGTAATCTGACAGGGCACTACAACTACATTATGTTAAAGTTCCTTCAGAAAGCATGAATTTGCAATTCAAAATTAAACCTACTACCGATTACTGAACCCTAGATTAGCAGCAGCGATATCCAAGAAAAGGATGAAAACCACACTAATCACCCACAAAGTCAGCTACAGAATCGAGGAGATGGGTTCTTGGACTGGACCTGCGCTGCTCCTGCAGGGGTGAGCCAAGAACCGGGCACCCTCAGCTCCTGCACGCGGCTGTCCTCCTCCTCCCCGCCGCCGCCGCCGCCGCTCGCGCGAGGTGCCGGGAGAATCCGTCGTGGAGAGGAGGCCGAGAATCCGGCGAGGTTGAGCCGGGAAGCGATGAGAGGTTGCGCCCTTGAGGTGGGAGAGGCGCGGCCATGAGCGTGAGCGAGGAGAGGGGAAAGGACGGAGGTGGAAGATGACATTTTTTTTCCCTTTTCTTTTCGCAGGTTTGTGTTGTTCAGATATTCTGCCTCTGATATTTTCTCCTTTTTTTTCAATTTTCATTTTCAGATGTTCTGGCTTAGGTTTTGGCTGTAGTTTTCCAAACTTTTCTATTCATTCTGGTTTTATTTGCTTGAATTTGTATGATTCAAATGGAAATTATGTGGATTCCCGCATTTAGGCCATGCACTTTTCTGTTTTCGTTTGCACGTTTCCTAAGCTACTATACGTTTTCTAAGCTACTACACGTCGCGTTTCGTGCAAAAGATACTACCATATAAATTTTTCACGGAATACCTCTCTAAAGCAAATTTTTAACTTTGTAGTAGTTAATTTATTCGCGTATACCCTCAAATAACTATCTAGATTATCCAAATCCATCAATTTCAGCTATCTAGCCCTCAAAAAAGCCAATTTTGTTTCCTCCAACATAATATTTTTCTAATTTTCATTCAATCAGATGTGTGGTGGATAGGTGGTTGCTTACCACAAGATTGTCATCCACATCAAACACAAACCCATGAGTTCAGGAGCTGCATTTCCTGTCCACAAATCTACCATTACATCATCTCATTCAGATTTTCATAGTTTCAGACCATGAAAACGCTGTAGCCTGTAAGCCTCCTCAGAGACCCAAGAGGGATGAACCAGTGACTCTTGACAAGTTATTAGTATTAATTTTTCTTCAGCAGTATACAGTACATGAAATGGAAGTGGCACAGAACAAGTGGTCTCAATTAATTTCCCTCATGTAGCCTTTGGAGTACAAAACCCTACCTTCAATGATCAAGGAAAGAATAAATGGGGTAGCAGGAATGACTGAACATACAATACAGATAGAATGCAAAGTTGGCCATAAATTTTAGAAGAACGTATTCTCTCCCGAAACGCAATTGCGAGATCAAAACATAGCAGCAGCCCTTTGGCGTTTCCGAAAGGGCTGATGAATTGAGGTGCATGGTTTTTATGCAGCCTTCTCCAGCACGAGCTTCTCGATCAGGTTTGCTGCATCTTGAACAGTTGCGATGTCCTGCGCACTTGTTTCGTCGACAGTGATGTTGAATTCCTCCTCGAGGCCCATCACAATCTCAACCTACAAAGGAGATTTGGCATCACTGTAATTGCGCCGTATTATCGGAAATGCTGCTTTTGTTTGGCTGACAGGGATTACCGTATCCAGTGAATCAGCACCGAGTTCAGAGAATTTTGATTCACCAGTGACAGCAGTTCCCTCAGGGAGTGCCAGCTGTGTCTTAACTATGTTGCAAACCTTGTCGACTGTCTCTTTCTTAGCCTGCTCAACATAATGGTGAATATCAACAGTATTCCAAATTGGTTCTCACTGTTTTAGTGTTGTCTAACCTAGCAAATTATTACTAGTTTCCAGGAAAAATGGTAGAAGATTTGCGCTCTTTATCTGACTAACTAGATAACACACATTGTCCATGAAAACTTTAGCTACGTCAAAGTGTCTGGTTCGTATTTATAGAGTGGGGTTAGCCTTGATGAATCTAGGCATCAAGAAAGCACTTGATCAAGTGCAAATGAACTAGGCGCCTATGCATCAATAGAACAATAAAAGAACCATGCCAAGAACTCAAGATGAACTCCTATTTAATTATCTATTTACTGCTGATTCACTAGATATTCCAAAATCTAAACTAGTTTGGAATAGGTAAACAATTGCTCCAGACACCTATGAAGGTTCTTGAAGAACACATGTGCATAACAGAAAAATGTGCAAATAAACTCAATACATTGGTAGAACAATTGCTAATAGGAGAAAACCTTAGCATACCGAGCAGCAAATCTTAAAACGAAGCTGACTTGGCCTTGAACGAATGGACATAAAACTTATTCTCTGGCTGTTGAAGGAAACTGAGCTCCGTCTCGAAATTACATTAGTCACCTGAAATGCACATCAACAAATTGCTGGTGTAACTGGAATATTCATATGCACAGAAGATGATGAGGGTACTACAGTGGAAACTGGAAAGTATGAACATATGACATCAAACTAACAATTTTTACTTTGCTCAAACAAATGCTAGTTCGCTCAAAACTTTTGAGTGCTTGAACACAAGATTGCAATGCGACAAATATACATTCAGACCCTTTGTTAAACAGATTACTTCAAGTTTTTTTTCTACTGGATGCTCCCACTGTCCTCACAAAAAAAAAGTGCTCCTACTGGATGAGCAATAAAAAAGGAGAGTAGATTGGCAACTAGGCTCATTTGTGAATCTAAATGCTCGCTAACCTCACTGACAAGAAGCTGGAAAACAATAAAAAAATTAACATAATTAAGCTCTCAAAGCCAATATATCTACAGCACAAAACATGAATTATCACTGACTTTTGACATTAGCCCCCTAGGAAGCAACCAGCACTTGTAAATCTCTGGTGAACAGAACTTATCTGGTCTACGGTTAGAAATAACTTAACATGGACAATACACAAGGATGCCAAACTTTTCAATCACCTCTGGTTTCACGTGTTGAAACCTAGGTATACATGTGGAATCCCATGAAGCAGGACACTCCAGGTCCACCAAGATGCACATGAAAATATTAGTCTACACTTGTAACAAGAAAGGACCGACTTTTCTATTCAACTGATGCATCAACATTGATGTGGAGAAGCCAAGTGTTGATAAAGAATATTTTTTAAATTTCAGCAAGATCTAAAGCATGTGCTGCCATTTGCTGTCCTTAAGTGGTTTCTCAGAGCTTTTACAGTGTCTTCCCAACTAGGCTGCATTAGAATTCATAAATTTTGTCTTAAAATAAGTCCAACGGGGGATCCAATCCAGTTACAGTGCCCGTGTTACTTTAACTATGACAATTTCGGAATCTTTGCAGTTTGCACTAAAATAAAGAGGAAATGTGAGCAATTGAGCTTTTTTTCCATGACGCTTAACTTCCATCAATCTCAATCCAAGGCTAATTAACCTTGTAGCTTATGTAAAGCATTTGAACCTGCACAATTGTAAATTGTAATCACACTTGCGCGATAACCTACTACTAAGCACTGCCTATGCTATACTGTTTTTGACATGTACTAATCATAGACAGATTCCCCACAATAGGAATAATATATGACATGAAGGATAATACTACAAGTTTTGCAATCTGCATCAAGCAGGGAAGGAACCTATCAAGAAATCGAGTAATGCTACCCAGAGAAACTAATCCAATCGGAAGCTGCCACTAAATCATCATCATCCATACATCAAGCCAATCCAAGCCAAGAACCAATCCAAAAGAATGAAACCAGTTCACCACCCCTCAAACCCTCATGAATCACAGCCTAAAACTCAACAAATCTGCAGAACAAATTGCAAACCCCCCCCCCCCCGGGCAAAAAAAAAAAATCAAGAAACAGGGCATACATATGATACACCAGGCAAGCTGAAGTACTGAACGAACCCCAAGAAATCAAAAAGCAGCTACAACTAAAAGAAGTGGTGGGCTTAGCGCAGGGCACAAACCTGTCCGGGCAGTCGCCGGCGTGCGGCGGGCGGCGAGAAGGACGAGGCGGCGGCGGCGAGGGAGTGCGCCATGGGAGGCTGGGCTGGCAGCTTAGCTGAGGTAGGGGCTTTCTTGGCTCGCGAGCTAGCTACCACGCAGACGCAGTAGTGGCATTATAGCTCAGGTAAGGAGATAAATAGATTGAATAGATAATAGGATAGAGGAGAGAACACAGTCCAAGAAAGCGGTAGATGCAGCTTGCGTTGCGTTGCCTCCATCAACGAAAATGGCAAAAGATGAAAGGAAATTATGCTATTACTAGAACAGGGGTGAATAGTCAAAGTGGTCCTCCAAATTTCATCTGAGGCTCAGTTTAGTTCTTAATGTTTCAATCTATCCATATTAATCCTTCAAGTTTTCATTTTAGTTCAAATTTATCCTTGAATTAACAACTCTATTTATAAGAGAACACTTATACCCATAATCATTCACATATATAAGAGAAAAATTACATGCTTGATTTTTTATAGATAATACATAGTATATTATGTAAAACAAAAAAAAATTATGTACTAGCAAGTGTACACGATAACAATTGCTTAAGTTTCATGTGCACATGTTGAAATAATGAGAAGTACATCTGTAATGTATTTATTCATGTTGACTTTCTCTTTTATAGTATATAGTTGTATACAAATTAAGGGCAAAAATGATATTCTTTAATAGAAATATTGACTAAAAATAGCCATATGACATATTAAATGGGCCCAAGGATGATTTCAAGCCAAAACAAATATTTGGAGGAGCTATGTGGACAAAATGAAACGTGAAGGACCAAATTGAGCCTGAAAGGGTCAATTAGGCCTAGAAGGGGGGTGAATAGGCTAATTTAAAACTTAAGAAATGTGGAAGCAGTAATTTTCGGAGCTAGGCTGGGAATTTTCGGAACTTCCGAAAATGCACAGAGCAGCGCACACACAAAATGAAAACTCTAGATCTACAAGACTATAACAGGAAATACAAGGCACAATCAGCAACTAGACCAATAGCGGCACAAGCAAGCAAAGTTAGAGGAGAGGGATGAAGAAATTTCACCAAGATGTAGCTCCCAAAGTTGTTCCCCGGAGTTCAAATCCTTGAGGGGATTCTACTCTCTGTTGAGGAGCTCACTAAGAGCCGGGTCTTAGCTAACCCTTTCCTCAAGAGGTTGTATTAAGCACTCCTCCTTTCACTAAGAGGTATCTCTTCCCTTGCGAAGGCGAGATCCGGCCTTCACAAACTTCTCCCGGCCAACCACAAGTAGATCGGTGGCTCGGGAGTGACACCTAGCCGTCTAGGAGTCCTCAACCTCCAAAAGTAAAAGATGATGCAAAGAACTCCCGGAGATGATGCAAGTGCTCACAAATCTTCACAAAGACCACAAGAAGCACCCACACAAGCTCGAATCCACACTCTCACACACACACCAAATCCAAATCAAACACGGGTGGAGAGATGAATCGAGGAAGCAAGGCTCAAATGAACGAGAGAGAGAGAGAGCAAGCCAAGGGCATAAATAATTGGAATGGAACCAGCAGCCCTCACAAGTAAGGGGAGGTGGGTATTTATACCCACAGCACAAATCTGCCCGTTGGAGTGCAACAAAAGGGATTTTCGGAACTTCCGAAACAATTTTCGGAACTTCCGAAAATTCCAGATTTGAGAAAAATTGAAGTCAACGCCCATTTTCGGAACTTCCGAAAATACTTCTGAAAGTACTTCCGAAAATTTCCAGAACGCTTCTGTGTATTTTCGGAACTTCCAAAAATTTCCAGAACACTCCAAAAGAGAAAAGCTTCGAAGAAAAATTGATTTTGAGCACACGCATCACTCCTTATATGTCTATGCATCATCCCCCTTAATAGTATGGCTTTCCTACGACACAATGCGAGGAAAAAGATACAATATACCATTTGATCATTGCCGCATTGCATCGCGATGTCGCATTCACGGGATATGCATTGTATTACAACGTGTTGAGGACTTAACAACCTTCACATTTGCTTGAATAAAAATGTTAGTCCTCTCTAATCGCATTGTAATCAATCATCAAAATCATTAGGAGCCTAGATGCACTTTTAGAGCCTTCGGTGAAACTTGAGGGACTAAATTAGCTATTCACCCTACTAGAATACTACTAGTAGCTTGTTGCTGCCAGGCACCGTTCTTTTCGGCAACTTACATAAGTACAACTATTCATTAGGAGAGGTCACATCCCACATTTTTTTCAGAGAGAGACTAGAGGACAAGATCCTGTTAGGACGGGATACTTAAAGTGACTCCTCCCCTTTCTTTCCTCTGTATAGCTGAGCTTGCACGTCTTTTCTCCTTGTCTTGCTAGCCAGATCAACAGAAGGAAAGGGAGGAAACACATTGAGGAGGGGAAGGAATGAGAGGATAGAAGATGGCAACAAGAGGTTCGTTGGCCGGGCACGACGACGATGGCATGCGCTCCCTCCTCACACCTGGTACCTATGGGTGTTCTGGCTGGTACCTGGTACCTTGGATACCGGCTGGTCTCTAGGTATCAGACCTTGGTACCTGGGTACCATGCCTAATACTTGTGGGTATGAGCCATGATTCCTCCCTCCTTACACCTGGCACCTATAAGTGTTCTGGCTGGTACCTGATACCTTGGGTACTAGCTAGTACCTAGGTATCAGACCTTGGTACCTGGGTACCAGGCCTGATACTTGTGGGTATTAGCCATGATACCTCCCTCCTTACACCTGGTACCTATGAGTGTTCTGGCTGGTACCTGGTACATTGGGTATTAGCTGGTACCTAGGTATCAGACCTTGGTACCTGGGTACCAGGCCTGATACTTGTGGGTATCAGCCATGATTCCCTAAGGTACCAGGCATGATACTTGGTATCAGCCATGATACCTCCTGATACCAGTCAAGAATGACTTATTTCCATGGTGGCCGCCTCGTCTCCAACGTCGTTGTCGCTCCCTTCTCCCTCTTCACAACCTTGGCTCCCTTCTCCTCTTCCTCCTCCTCCTCCTCCGCCACCACCCCCATAACCGGACGCTTCTCTAGGGCGCCCACGAGACCACCACAACCACCTCCGTCTCCCCCACCTTCGCCGGGAGAGACCCTCATGACCGGGGAGTAGGGAGGAAGGTGGAAGATGGAGAGAAAGAATCGGAGAGAAAGGAGGAGGAGAAACGGATCTGTGGAGAAGAAATGGATCTCGGGTGTATCCCGTCCCCACGAGATTCCGTCCACTAGTTTTTCTCTTTTTTCTAGGTTGTTTTTTTTAACGGAGGGAGTAGTTTTCTTGTTTTTATTATCAAATTACTATACCGTACATTCTATGTAATATATATATATATATATATATATATATATATATATATTGCAAAAAATTAAAATCATATAAATATAAAAATAGAATGCTCTCGATATGTAGGTTCCGTTTTTGTAAACATATCTCCAATCCGCCTAGAGGAGAGATGTCTTTTATTTTCAGATTTGCTAAAAAAATCCGCCTAGAGGAGAGGTGCCTTTTATTTTCAGATTTTTTGTCAAAAAAATAGTCGATTTTGTGACAGTACGATTTACATTAAGGCGCCGTTACGGAGAGTCGAATGGAGACCTTCGAAGTCGCAGACAGAGCTCCTAACCAACCGAGCACGGTATTGGCATTCACTTTATTGCCAAAACAAATTAATATTGAATTTTGAAGTACTTATACACTAACCACACCCCCACTTACATTCACTTACACAACACTTACACTATAATTACATATGTAATTTATTCACTTACACGGCACTTATACAACACTTACACTATAATTACATATGTAATTTAGGAACTTATAATGTAAATACATGCTGACTATTTTTTGGTGAAAAATATGGTGCCATAAATATAGCTACTCCCTTTATTTTTTGTTTTTAAGGGGGAATCGGATATAGAGTTGGATTTTTTTAGAGACAGAATCGGACATATTCTTTTTTTTTTATTTTCTTCCTTTTTACCCGGTGTCGGATTCGTACAGATCCGATTTTTTTTTCCTTTTTTTCGCCCATTTTTTTGGTCGGACAGGTTTAGGTTTTTTTTTTCATCCGAATTTTTCTGGATCGGATAGATTTGGTTTTTTCGCCCTTTTTAATCGGACAGGTTTGTTTTTTTTCTTTTATTCCGCCTGGTTTTTTTTTTGATAATTTTGGTTTTTTTTTCATCAGGTTTTTTTTGACGATGGAAGCACCTCTTATTTTTTAATAGTGTATATATATATATATATGTATATATATATATATATATGTATATATATATATATATACACACTATACTACACCCTGATACATTATAACTAAAATACTCCCCCTCACATCCTACCCCCACCCCACCCCTACCCTACCCTATACCTCGGCGGCAACGAGGAGGAGAGGCAATGGCGTGAGGCGCCCGGCGACGGCGACGACGTGCTATAGGGATCTAATGGGTCAGGCGGCAAGAACGGGCATGTCCGTGTTCGTGCGAGGAGGCGGGGACGGTTTCGCTCCCGTTCACGCGGTTGTCGCCGGCATTCGTCCTTCCCCGCCGGTACTCCCGTTCCGCTCAGCCACGGCTTCGACCTCCACCGCCCCCACCGGGCCTCCACCTCCGGCGTCAGCTTCCTTTGCGCGCCCCAAGGAGCTCCACCGCCACTGGTTAGCCCCGTATCCCGTCACCCATTTCCTCCTCCTATTCCTCCGCTCTAGGTGGCGACGGTCGCCGCCGCCGCCCCCCGTGCTTCCGGCGCCGTCACTCGTTTCCGCTTCTGTCGTCCACGCTGGTCGTCTTCTTCGACTCCGTTACCTGACCCGCGAAATCCAGGGAGCTCTCGACGTTGGTGGACGAAGGAAGCCGATGGTACCCCTCCCTGACACCGGTGGCTGCGTGAAGCCGTTGTCGTGGCTCTCCGGCACCGGATCTGGTGGCTCGGTGTAGAAACTGAACGGCGGCGGTGTCAAGAATCGGCAGCGGCGAGGAGGCGCTTCCAATGGTGTGGAATGAAATCCTCCAAATCGATCCTGGAAGCGGCGATGGCAAAATCAATCTTGCTGTGCGCTGTTCTATTTCTTTTTTGCCTAAGGGAATATATAAGGTTAACCTCTTCTCTTGGTCACCGTGAATCAGATTTGCTTTGCATCAGCAGTTAGAACCGATTAAATTTGTTTTTTCCTTCATTTGAGTTGCTATGGTTCTTGTGGTGTTGAATCATTCCCATCGCCAAGATGTGAACCTGCAGGGTAAAGAAGGATGAGATCTACAGATAACCCACTTAATTAGGTATTAGCCTGAACTGAAAATTACTACTCCTCATCTGATGTATATGGCGAACTTACTAGACAATCAGGCTTTTGAATGTTACCTGACCACACATTGTTACTAACATGTGCTAATTTTAGTCAGAAATAAATATTGAATGTTCAGCTGTTGCTCCCTGATTGGTACCCCAAGGAGAGCCCAAGCCTGTGGGGATGGCCGGATGGGCGCTGCCCACGCCGCCAACCTTCCTCACACATCCACAGGAGCAGGTACGCATTGACCTGGTCTTTTTTTCCCATGTATTATTGCCTGCGGGTTGATGAGTTTTCTTATTGACTTTGAGCCATACAGACGCATGTTATAGATTTTGTTAAGACTATTTGAAATGCTCGATGAGCTAGTTATTAGTATTCTGGGGTTTTGGAGCTCCCAGACTCATCATATAATAGAAAGATGTGAGCTTTGTTCAACAGAGCAATTTTCCTAAGAAGATTTATCGCTTCGGGATGTTGGATAGTTCTAGTTTTCTTATTTTGCATCTTACTTTTTGCCAACGAACGGTACACATCTTCCTCAAACTATGGAGAATTCATTGGATAGCTGTACGCTGAAATTTCCTGGTTCAACATAACAACAGAGTGATGATGGGGACATAATGCATTAGTTCCCAACCCATATATATTTTTGGTGCCTGCATTGTCAGGTTTCAGGCTTGGAGATTTGTCCTTCTATTTATATTTTTGGTGCCTGCAAACAAATATAATGTTACATGGTAGCCGATTTGTTAGCAATTTACTTATCTGTCACTGAATCAGAACCATGAGCTTCTTGAGATTGCTAAACCTGTTACAATGAAAGTTCTTTTTGGTTAGATATGTAGTGCACACGTTACCGGTGTCCGCATCCATTGTCTGCTGGAGGTCCTTGTATATGCTCTTCATCGTTGGATCCATTCGCTTCTTGGGTTTCTTCGTGCCGGTTCTTGTTTTCTTGGCATTGCTTTGCTCATGGAGGTTCATGTTTTGTTGATGCATTGTCATGGTGGTGGATGCTGCATCTCAGCCTTTTGCATGATTAATTTCAGATTGTGCTTTCCTTTCTAGTGCAGTGCTGCTGCTAGCATCTTACAAGGTCATTAAACTGTATGATGGGGGGATTGGTTCAATTAAGTATCTCGTTGATTCTCAGAGTTATTTTCTATATGGAAAAAAATATGTTTGCTTTCTTTTATGGCAAAGCAATTCACAACAGCAATCTTATGGCTATGAAATACTAGGTTTAAGTGAAATCATATTTATTTTGCTGATTTGTGATACTTAGAAGTAACCTTCATTTTTTTTTTTATCCAGATGGCTATGAGAATGCCTCTCCAGAGCCGTGGTGACAGATATCTGTCGACAGGGAGGACTTGAGAATCTGCAGCACTTCGTCGGCTCAACGTTGATTTGTTTTATTGGCGTTGTCTTGCTTGTTGGATTCGTGCATGCGTAGATGGATCATTGGCCTTGATCTATATTGTCGTATTAGTCTTGGCATCAATCTTCATCACCGTATCCTTCAGTGGTGTTGCTGTTGTGATTTTTTTACTGGAGCTGTTGTGATCTTTAATTAGTTCTGTTTATTCTACCGATGTACCACATTGCATGTGTGATCACATCATTGATGTAATACCGAAATTAATTTACTCGATCAAAATTTTTTAAATCTAACTTGTGAGTAATTAATTTACTGATAGGAGGCGGGCTATAAGTTATGTCTACGCATAGAGTAATTCATCTACTGACATAAGACCACCAGAATCGGAACGGAATTCTTGCTAGATTCAATATGTTATGTCTATAGTAATTTCTTTACATAAAAGCCAAAACCAAAGAGGGGAATGGATCAATATGTTTCGTCGACAGTAATTTCTATACTTAGAAGCCAAAACCACCAAGGAGGGGAATAAAATAAACCGGGAGTAATTTCTTTACCTAGAAGCCAACACAAAGGAGGGGAACAAAATAAACCAGAAGTAATTTATTTTACTGAAGAAAATTTCGTGGCAGCCAACAAAATAAAAATAAACCATCAAAAATAATTTATTTACCGAAGAAAAATTCATGGCAATATTAATATGTTGATTATAAGTAACAGAAAATTCGTGGCAAGATTAATATGTTGATTAGTAATTTATTTACTAAAAGGGAAGAGAAGCAGTGGGAATAAAAAAAAAGGTGGGAACGGAAGGGGTGGGTGGCGGTTGGCGGACGAGAGGGAAGTGGGGGTGGGAGCAGACGAGAGGGAGGTGGGGTGGGAGTGCCGACCGGGGGTGGGGTGGGGTAGGTTGTGAGGGGAGCATTTTAGTTATTACGCAGCCTGGGTGCGGTTTAGCGCTGCCCCACATATATATATACATATATATATATATATATATATATATATATATATATATACACACATATATATATACACATATATACATATACACATATATACATATACACATATACACATATATACATATACACATATATACATATATACATATATATATTTATTTATTTATTTCCTCACGAAATCAAATAATTCCACTTCCTAAATTTATAATAACTAATACCCAATTAATCATTAGTCATGTGTTAATTACCTGTCTTATTTTACATGCATTAAAAACTACTCTCTCCGTCTCAATGGTTCATGTATCCAACGTTTCACCGTTTGTATTACTTTAAAAAAAATATGAAAAAAATTTAAAAGGTAAAATTTGCTACAGGACATCCAAAAGATATGTAATTAGCTGTGGGATGCTGCAAAGATGTGAATTTGCTCGAAGCCACTCTAAAAGTGCGGTAATTTGTTACAGGACACTGGACACATTAAAATATAATATCAACTGAATTGATGAGAGAGGAACCACGTAAATGACAGTCTTGCCCTTATCTTCTTCCCCATCTCTCGGGCCATTTTCGGCCTCCACCGCCTGCAGGTCGTCCCTGTTGCTGCCTTCCCCCACCGATCGGCGATCACCGCCGCCACGGGTATTGGTGGCTATTAAATGCCAATTCTATGCCGTCAATACCTGCATAAACATAAAGAATAAAGCATCCAACATATTGATTAGGTTTAATTCTAATATATTCCACGAGTGTTGGTGTATATGCGCATGCAGGTAATAAACCACCGAAGTTGGGATGAAAATCAGACTTAAGTGGAGGTGAAATCCTATCATACAACGAGTGGGCCAAAAACTACACAAAACTTCAACAAATGGGCCTTCCACTCGAATAAATAGATAAGGGAGCATGAGGAGGAGCAACAAGCATGAGGAGGAGCAACAGGCCAAAAAGTGGGACTGTTGGGCCAGGCCTGGGTTAGGTCGAACCACTCCCACAGCAGTCTGATCTGGGGCTTGGCAGGGATGGTCCAGATGACTCCCTAATGGCGGTTGGAGGGTAGAATGGATATTTCGCCTTCTCCCAACCGTCATAACTGCCCTATATAAAGACTTCACCTCTTCACTTCACACACACACTTCAAGCTTGAGTTGAATTATAAGAGGCTCTATTGTACTTTATTGTATACTAGATTAGGGAGAGAGTAGAGTAGAAGAAGCCGGAGGAGTTCCGGAGCTGTCGGTAATCCTCTTCTTATTTCTTTTGCTCTGTTAATTACTCTGATTTTAATAGAAATATCTTTTGAGTAATTTAGTTTTGTTTGGTGAGAATTATCTCTTAGGTTAGTTCCTAATCAGCGCGTGCGATCATTGTTCACTGTAATCCAGTAAAATATAGTGATTGCTTTAGTGTGTAGCTAACATTAAAGTAAGTTATTACTCCCTCTATCCCAAAATATAAGACATAACCACTCATAACACAAAGACCAAGAAAATATTTAATCACCTTCTTGGTTGGATCACCTTAATGCATGCAAGCAATGTGATTGAGAGGTTTGATGATATAAGATTTAAAACAAATCAATGTTATAAGACCAAGAGATGCTAGTTAATGTATGCATGCATGCACGCCTTATATTATGAGACATGAGAGAAAAATGGCTGTGCCTTATATTTTGGGATGGAGGGAGTAATTGCTTAGATGCGGTGTCTAGGTAGTTGATCTCTGGTGTTTGCTCCGTATCCCACAGTAGGTGTGAGATGGGTGTAGAGGTGGTGACAGCCCTCAAGATCACTAAAGTCCTCTCTGTCCGGATACATAGTAGAGCGATATCTGAGAGCGGTGAGCTGGCCAGTGTCTGAAGTATCACGTTAGGATTAAAGTTAAGCTTTCCGTAGACACTGTTTCTCACCGGTGAATCCTCTCTATCCTTTGCCTATCCTTAGCTTTGTGTCTTTGGAAGAACCTGGTGAAGAGCTGACACACACGTTCACTGTGGAAATCGATACCTGAGACTACTCCCGGGTGAAGTGTTACATCAATATTTTTCGTGCGCTTGCGGATTTTATCTGTAAGGTTAAGAAATACCAACAACGGGCACTCCTCTACGTGCCCTCCACCACTACCTTCCGCACTCCTTGGCGAGCTCCAGCTCCACCCTCGCCATCTCCGTTACGCGCTCCACATACGCCCGCCTACTGCATCTGCGTCAGTAGTAGTAGTAGCAGCAGCAGCAGCAGTAGCAACAGCAGCAGCACGACGAGCGTCGCTCGCCGCTGGTCCACGTTCTCGCTCGACTCAGTCGCCACCTCCATGCCCTCCTCCTCCCCGTCGCGCTCGCACCACGTGGCTGGCGTCGCCTGGGCGCCCATCCGCTCTGCCGCCGCGCCGCTTGGCCTGCGGGACTTCACCCTCGTTCGCTGCCTGGGCGCCGGGGATATCGGACCGTCTACCTCCTCCGCCTTGATGGGGAACATGGCAGCAGCTCGCTGTCGCTGTCGACCTGTCGTCGTGCGAGTATGCCATGAAGGTGGTGGACCGTTGCCACACTCGCCAAGAAGGGCAAGCTGGAGTTCTACCCTGGTGGCGACCTCCACTCGCTCTGCCACCGCATGCTCGATAGCCGCTTCCCCGTCGCGCCCTCCAGGTTTTACGCCGCCAAGGTTCTCTTCGCGCTCGAGTATCTGCACATGACGGCCAGGTTTAGGTCCAGAGGTATACAAGCAGGGATGGCCTGTAGGTGGTGGAGGCCGCGAATGGCCCGAGAGAACGGGGAAGAAGATAAGGGCAAAACAATCATTTTATGTGGTTTCTCTCTCATCAATTTAATGGATATTATATTTTAATGCGTCCAATGTATTGCAGCAAAGTACCACACTTTTAGAGTTTCCTCGGTCAAATTCTCATTTTGCAATATCCCACAGCTAATTACATATATTTTTTTAATATCCTATAGCAAAATTTGCATATTCTTATAGGTCCACCAAGGCAGTTAACCCACACACCAGGACAGAAGTTAGAGAAGAAGTCAACGAAAGGGGAGGAAGAACAGGAAGGGAGCCCGGCCCAAGCGCACAATAATAGCCCATCCACGAATCGTAACCCCGACCCAAAAAAAAAAAATTTCCTCGCTCCGAGAAAGTTCAGGCTAGGGCAAAAGCCGGAGGGGGATGGCGGCGGGGGAGGGGGAGGCAACGACTTGCCACAAGAGATCGGCGGCGGGGCAGGAGGAGGAGGAGGAGTCGAAGAGGCCACGCGATGGCAGCGAGGAGGAGGAAGAGCTGCTCACCGACCTCTCCCGCTACCGCCGCTACTGGACGGATCTGTGGTCCGACGTTTCCGGCGACATCGCCAAAAGAAGTGAGGAAGCTTCTTTTTTTTTTGTTTTGTTTTACAGATGATTTTATGGTAAATACGAATTCGCTCATGCTCTTGTTAGGTTTTTAGTTTTCATCTCAAATCGACATGCTCGCTCGCTGATTATGGTAGGCGGGAGCCTGGGGTGCACAATTGTGGGGGATGGAAACATGAACATGGAAAATGTTGGGATTGCTATTTTTCACATGAATTTCTATCAATGATATAATGGCTCATCTCTTTGGTATGTTGCAAAGGAAAAAGAAATGGTAATGCTTGACTGATTGATGTGGTTTATTGGATGGATGCAGCTGAGTTTGGTCCCATGCGGTACACGGAGGAACCGGTGCCCCCGTTCGCAAAGCTCCAAGATTTACTAGAGGTTTTTTCTTTTGAGGTGACTGAGCTGAAAGGTATTCTAAGCTGGCCAATAGATGTGTTTGGCCTCATCTCTGTCCGTGACTCGCTGGACCGGAATCGCAACTATATCTTTGAGCGCACCAGGAACTACTGCCAGACTCTCACTGCAAAGGTACCTCTATGCTTCATGGAAATAACAGCGCAAAGTCATCAGTCTTTTGACTTTTATACAGGCAGCTAGTTAGTTTTGCAATTTCACAATTGTGGTGCACTAGTGCAGTACTTTTTCACTGCACTGCAATCTAGAGATGTCTGCTGCAGTTCCGTTAAGAAATTGGATGTTACTTAAACAGATTAGAACAGTCCAAACTTATATGCACATCATGGTTCCATTTCACAAATTATATGTGATAGTCTGGTACTAGTTGTATCACAGAAGCATATTAGTAAACAACTTGAAATATTCAAATGCTCATGATTTAGAATCATGTAATGGCATTTCTTTTTTACCAAAGGCAAAACATAAAACCTGTGATAACATAATCAAGCAAATTTTCCAATCTCAAACTCCCCTACACACCAGAGCTTAGCAAATTCTCATGATATATAAGGGGCACCACAAACATGTGTGTTGCTAACAGAAACAACTACAGAAACATTCGGTGTGCAGGCGCTGAATTAGTACTTCAAAATAAAAGGCTACCAAATCATCAATTGATAGCACATGCAAGGGCACTTCCCCACTCTGATTTAATTCATAGAAACTAGCGTTTTGCCCCATATGAACTTGCAGAGGCTATCTTTTCTTGCAACATCTGTGCTCCTTGCTTCAGTTTGTCTGCAAGAACTGTATTCTTTTGCCAATCATTCAAGTAGGATATTTAAACACACCCCTCATGAATGCGTGAATGGTAAAGTGAGGGTCAAGAACTTTCCTATGGTCAAAAGAGATGCTACTCTCTCGGTAGTACAACTGTCCTAACTGCAGCAAGACGAATCATGCATGGATTCATCTCCTTGCAGTACAGCTTGAGCCTAAGGGAAAACATTTTGCAAATATTTAAGGGTAATTAACACTGCGAGAACACACCTGAAAGGTTGTAAGCAGGTCACAGTAACAGCAAGTGATCAATTGTGTTTCAGGTTTGGCAGACATATAATATTTGTTATCTCATAGCCATCTTCGTTTCTTTATTGCAATAGCCATCATGTTTTAATGGGATTGTTGAATATTGAACATTATTAATGCCAATTTCCAAGAGCCTAAGGAGATGCAATGGTGATCCACCATTGATGATAGAAAGGAAATTCTTTGAGATGTTTTAGGGTAGAGGAAAAAAGGTAGCACCAAGAGTACAGTTTACCCAACAATAAACTACAATTTGTTGTGATATTTTGACATACTATGAATATTCTTTATGAAAAGCTCCTGAAAAAAAGTGTTAATAAATAATGATTGTATTAATACTACACTTCTGTGACAACAGTGCAATATTAATTTGTGAGTGCTGGTCATTAAAGATTCAAGCAATAAAGATGAAGTTGTCAATACATATATTAAATATTAATCGTAGATCATATATATGCTTATTTTCCTATGCCGTATCAATGTGTTCTTGAGCAAAGGGAAAATAGAAATTCCAAGTTGAGTTATGCATAGCATGCTGTCAGGCTCACATATGTTTTTCTATTCATAATTATATGCTCATGTTTTTATTTTGTTTTGACAGTTCAAATGTGCCATTCATATTGTTTTGTTGAGTGGAACTTAGGACACAGAACGCAATAGAGTTATGCACGTTTGTTCACCTTCAGTCTAGCTAGTTTCATCTTATCCAATAAATTTGGAAATATTTGCTATGTTACATCGTTGCTACCATTCCTTTCCAATTGTTTTCATGCAGAGCTAAGTGGTGGATTGCGCATCATTACTATTATTCTTATATTTAGTAATGTCATCAGTGTGTGTAGGATTCATCTCTGGTTCTCACTGGTCCAAGCCGTGCAGTCCAATTGATTGACCCTGTTGAATTTGAAATTGAGCTAAGAGTCAAGGGGACAAGTCCCTCCAAAGATAAGATCTTGAGCGCTGAAGCATTTGGGTATAACTGCATTGCTCAGAGACTCAGATGTGGCTCACTCCGCAGTATGATGTTATCAGGAGCACGCAGCACATTGGAGTTCAAGTATGCACACATTCCTTTGGCATTGGAGGCTACAATCAAGGTCAGGATTACTAGGGGTTCAACTGATTTCTGTGGAAAGTTCATTGCACATACTGCTAGTATCAAGGAAGATGTCATATTGCTGGACTCTGGAGAAGAAATGGTGGCTATCTCCCATGATGGAGCCATTAATTTCTCCCGCAGTGTAGTTGCAGTTGAAGGAAATGGCGGAGTTCTGACTGTTGGTGTTCATGCAAGGCAGAGTGGTGGTGAGAATATGAGATGTTCTTATAAAGAGTTTATCCCGGTAAGATGTGGACGGAGTCATGACACACTTGATGTTGGATTTTGCCAGATGAGCGTTGAAGTTGCTTGGTCGCTCATCTTTTAATATTGAAAAAAGTCTAGGCCCTGATAATATTTTTCTTGCATATGACAATACTTAATATTCGGTATTAGTAGTGGAAGTAATAGATGTGCTCCGTGGCATTGTAATACACTAATATGACAGTACTGAGTTTGGACCGGGGGCCTCACGATCCATGCCATTGTAAATTTGCTACTCTATATCATAAAAATGCTATTATTATTCACCTATTTGTAGATAGTAACCATGTCATTACAATTCTTTTGAAATATGAGACGACATTTTCTACACTCTAAACGTAGTTGGTCTCAAATATAGGCCACTGCATTTTTTTTATATCATCCAAAATGCCCTTATGTACATTAGGTGGGCCCTACACGTCATCCCCTCCATCTCTCTTGGAGCAAGGAGTCGTTGTTCACCTTGTTGGTGACGCCGTCGTTTTGCTCCCTCGCATGTCGCTGACTCGCTCGTCTTGCGCCATTGGCGGCTAGCTTTCTTGATTCAAAAGCGAGTAAGCAATCAAACTTCGCCGCAACAAAGAGCTACTCCCTCCGTCCCAAAATATTGTCCTCTAGGCAAAGGATAGCGACAACCTTAGTTGGATGAGGGAGGACGCGCGTAGGGGCGCAGCGTCCACAGCAACTGGCGATATGGGGCGTGCTCCGGGCGGCAATGGACGTCGCTGGTGAGGGGCGGAGTCAAATTCAAATTTGAATCGGGTATGTAAACTTTGACTTATAAACTTTGGGTCTATAAACTTTAGGTGTATAAACTTTAGATGTATAGAAATACTATATATAAAAAATATTTGAATTCAAATTCAAATTTGAATCGGATATATAAACTTTTGATTTATAAACTTTAGGTCTATAAAATTTAGATGTGTAAACTTAAGATGTACAAACTTTAGGTGCATAAATTTACTAAAATAGGAAAGTAATGCGGTGCCAAAAAAGGAAACCAGGTGGAGGAGGGGGGAGGGGGCGCCCAGGGGCGATCGATCGCTCCTTAGCATTTCCGGAGACCGGTATGGTATGTATGTTAATTAGAGGCTATCACGTTACAACAGTTAAGACAATACGGTCTCTAACCATTAATATACCAAAATACTTTATTACTAGTCATCTTTCCTTTATTAGACTCAATACAATGAAAAATTTCCTAATAAATGCTAAGAGTTGACTCTATGCCGTTGTTATGCGTAACAACCATATTTCTCTTTCCTTCTTCCTCTCTCTTCCACGTCACCAAATATGCTTGCATGATAATAAAGAGAGATCGCTAATAAAGACCATTGCACATGTCCTAAGAAATGTTTGAATCAGGTTATTTTCTACCATTCCATTTTTTATTTGCATGCATTCATTTCTAAATGAAGTACAGTGAATTACGTTCCATGGATCATACAAAAAAAATCATGCCCCTTAATTATGTTGAATCAATTGCTTTCCATGTACGCGGATTTAGATGTTTTACCTTTTTCCGTGCGTTGCAACGGGAAAGATAAGAAAGTCGATGAAAAAATAGAGTGCAGTCGACAAACGGTGATTGGAACGAAAGAGGGTTAGTCGGCTGATGACAGTGAGAGACGGTGGCATGTCAAACCCTAGCGGGATAGAATGATAGGAGGGAACGCAGATTGTGGAGGCAAGGGTTGCTTAAATCCATTTGAGATTTTGATTATGTGTAATGGTTTATCGGGACAACCATTTGAAATTACATCTTAGTAGCTGATGGCCATATTTAATAGTTCATGACATATATAAAAAATACCATTAGAGATTCTACCAGGTAAAGCTTCGGAAAATGTTTCCTCGACTCATTTTCTGGGGGTGGCTAATGGGCGCGCGCGCCGGCAACGCGCGCACCAGCTGGCCCCCTCCCCCGAGCGATTTTTTTTCTTTTTCTGTTTTCACGATTTTCTTTTTTTTTTCGCCTTCCCTTTTACGTATTTTCTGATTATTTTCTTATCTTCAACACACGTGTTTTCAAATGTTTTGACTTGAAAATTTTTAAATCTCGAGTTGGAAGTTTTTAAATCTGAATTGAAAGTTTTCAAATCTCGAATTAAAATTTTCAAATCTCGAGTTGGAAGTTTTCAAATTCTGAGTTGGAAGTTTTGAAATTTTGAATTGAAAGTTTTCAAATTTAAGTTGAAAGTTTTCAATTCTGGGTTGAAAGTTTTTCAAATTTGAGATGAAAAGTTGAAAGTTTTCAAAATTTGACTTTAAAAAGTTCAAATTTCGAGTTAAAGTTTTTCAAAATTTGACTCCACATATAGATTTCTTTTCAAGATGTTAAACAAAAGCTATCCGAAAAAAAAATCTTATGTTAATTGTCGGTATTATCTCTAACTAACAGGATTAGTTGGTACGTTTCTCTGAGAAAAAAGTCCGGCCGCGTGCGCGTTGGCAGCGCATACGCGCGGGGTAGCTTTTCCGTCATTTTCTTCTATCGGCGTGTGCCCACATCTCGTACCTATATCTGTTGCTCCAGTGTGGTTAGTGTATAGGCGGATCTCCGTTTCGCTAGATCTAGTCAAGCTCAGGTCTACCCGATCCAGCTCGTTGAGGCAGCGGTAGATTTAGTGATTTACCGCACGGCTACCCTAAGCAGCTCCCCGGGCTCCCAAGCCTACAGCTATCGAGTTGTTCCTTTGTAAGCTGGTGATTTTGCATGCAACGCCACACCAAACCCCAAGCCAGGCAATGACGGTCACGAGTATCGCCGGGAGTCATGGACCTTGCAATGCAACACACAAGTACACCACATCAGCACACCTCTTGACTTGGTGCTAGTTTAAAAAAAATGTAGACGAGCGAAGCAGAGGTGTTCGACTCTAGATGAGGTCTGGTTGTCAAATCTCTCTCTTTTTAATTTTTTATTCTACTAAAAAAATATCTGTACGTTGCAACGGGTGAAATCTATTTTAATATTATTATTGTTAAATGGTTTAGTTAAGATGAAATTTACTGTGGGAGTTCGCTTGGATATATATATATTTTTTAGAAAATCATGAGCTGCAGTTAGGAGTCCGATCATCTCAAGTTAGTATGCGAGTTTTTTTAAACAGATTTCTTATATGATTCCTTCTGTATTATCAAAAGTGAACGATATTAAAAACCGATTCAAATACGGATATTTATTTCCAAAGCAAACGAACTTAAAAACTGACTCATACACGGATGACGTACCAAAATACCGGTAAAAACATATTTAATTTTTATAATAGTAGAGATAGAGATATAAGTGACGAGTTCCATGGTATGCCCGATTGAGATTAGTCATCTGTGATGGGTACTATAACTAATCTCGTTTGACTCATATGCTGAGCCAAACCTATCTATGACGGGCCTTATACTTAGTCCGATTGAGATAACTATCATCCGTGCCGGTCAAATGCCCGATTGAGATAACATCTCACATCAATGATCTTTGCTTAGTGACGGTAGCTCTTCCTGGCACTGATTGAGACCTATCCCATGCTAGTGAATCCAGTGGCTAACAGAAGGTCGCATCACAATCGAACCTCTGCGTCGTGACTCTGTGGCCGCGGGATAAGCAGCAGTCAGTCACCTCCCCATCGCAGAAGGCTGCTATTGATCCGATCTGATTTATCAAAAAATCGGAGAGAAAGATTTTTTTTTTCTGAAACAAGATGGCATCGAGTAATGAACTGCAGGGGAAAAGTTGATGTTTCACATGAACTGTACCATAAAAACAGTTTTGCAACCAAACAAGACTAAAATTTGCTCAACAATTAACTCACCGTACAACAAAATCGCGATCAGTTCCTTCAAGTAAACAAGCTCACAGCCATTGCGTACAAGGATGAAGCAGCATGCTCACCGGAGGTCATGGACTCCTACCAGGGCCGATGCAGCCACCTGGCCTCGTCCTCCTCATCCAATCACGAAAAGAGACCGTGCGATTAATGAAGCAAATCTGGGCGTTATTATGTGGAGGCAGTGAGACGCAAGAGATCCGTTCGAATGGAGAAAGAGGAGACGAAGAGATCGAGTCGGAGAAGCGTGGGACGGGACGGACAGGTCAGGACGAGGTGAAGCTGACGGATCAACGTGCACGCCTACCGACCGGCCGAACCGACGAAACACCAAACTCCTGAATTCTGATCCGATTTGGACACACAATGACTGACGAAAAACTACGACAAAAACATCTTAAACTTTTATAATAGATAAAGATAAAGATCTTTTATCTATATATAGATATTTATTTACTATACTAAAATGCATGCTTTCAATTTGTCTTTTACCTATCATAAACCTTAGTTACGAGAACAATTTCTACTCGTGTTTGTTGTTCATCGTTAAGCTTGCCTAGGTTCTAGATCCACCGCTGCACTGAGGTATTTATTGATGGAGCTTCCATACCGACTACTTAAGATTATAGATGGTGATATGGCCTGAGGCTCACGGCCCGGCCCGAAGCTCACAATTTTGGCCCGGCCCAAGAACAGCACGGCCCGACTGGGATCATGCCCGTGCCAGCCCGGCCCGATCAAAGAAAAAAAATATAGAGATGCAAAATAGACTTAAATAATTATATAAGGTAAGGCCCAAGACAAGAGGTATACAAAATAGACTTATTTTCCAGCCATTTAAACACAGCCCACGGAGTTGAGGAATCAAAAATAGACTTTTTCTGTAAGGAAGCACGATGAGCCATCGTGCCTTCAGGCCAGCCCAGCACGGCCCGAGTAGTATTGGGCCGTACCTAGGCCGTGTACGCCACCCATGGGCTGGCACGGCTCGGCCTGGTGTGTTGGTTGGGCCGTGCCGGCCCGACAAGCCTCGGCCTAGGCACTGTCGGGCTTGGGCCGTGCCGTGCCGAGCAACCCACATGGCCATCTATACTTAAGATCAGTCAATGCTTCCAACTCTATATAAAGCAGTTGTGGCGAACTCTACATGGGAAGGTATATTAAAAACCAAATAGCTCTCAAAATAACCCTTGGATCCAAACAACTTAGGACTATTTTATTGGAGGACTATTTCCTTTACTAAAAAGTAGCTCTTAAAGTAACTTTTGGCTAGTCTCTAAACTGGACCATATTATGTCCTCTAGCCAGCAGCGAAATCACTAGCTTGCATTTGTATCAGCGCTGCAACTAGCGGGGGATCAGAATGGAGCGTTGTGCTGTTGCCGGCTCAGCGAAGTACCTGGCCATCCATCGGCTGAGGCATCGATGACTGTATGTGTCATACGATCGAAACAAACAAACAGAACAACCTCTTGATGGACGCATACGGGCCAGGTTTGCCTTGGGACGGGAAGGCCCACCACGCAGTATAGAGCGATATCCATACGACCATACTTGGCCTGTTTGTTACAGCTTCACATCTTAAATTTAGCTTCAGGAGTTGATCTAAAGTGAAATTGTGGAGCTGTCTAAACCCAGCTCTACAACTCTAGTTCATTTTGTGAGAGAACTCCACCCAGCTCCACTCTTATTTTTGGTGGAGCTGAAACTGTTTGGCTGAGCTCCAGCTCCAGGAGGGGTGGAGCTGGAGCTGGAGTTGTGCCAAACAGGCCCTTACGGACGCTGCTTGCCTGCTCCCAGGGCGTGCTCCGATCAGTGCTCCCGTATACGTGGCACAATCCTAGCGTTTCCCTGTTTTTTTTCTCTTGAGTAAAGTGTACGCGCGGTCCTTAAACTTATATGGGTATGTCATCTAGATCGCTAAACTCTCAAAATACATATCCAAGTCCCAGAACCTATCATAGTGTGTCATCTAGGTCCCAAATCGCCACAACCCCTTCAGGATCCTATGTGGCGTTGATGTGGCATGCCACACGGACATGATATGGCATTATTTTGACTGATAAATGGGACCCATTTAATTTTTTTCCTTTTTCTTTTTTTCTTCTCTTTTTTTCCCTTTCTTCTCCTTTCTCTGTGACCCGTGCAGAAAAAAAGAAAAAAAAAGAAGAATGAGAAGAAAACGAAAAAGAAAAGAAGAAAAAAAAAGGACACGTCACGTCTATGTGGCATTGCCACATCAGCGCCACGTAGGATCCTAGAGGGGATGTGTCAATTTGGGATCTAAATGATACACTTTGACAAGTACTAGGACTTGGATATGCATTTTGAGAGTTTAGGGACCTATATGACACAACCCTACAAGTTTAAGAAAACCGAAAAAAAACGGCATTTAACACTCCACCGCTTACAGCTACTTCCTCTTTTAGATTTCTTTATCCTGTGGCAGCAGTGGTGAAGGGTAGCTGGCTGCCGGCGCCCAGAAACCGGCGAGCAGAGCCGGCGTGGTGGGGCGGCAGCGAGGGATGAGCAGGAGGAAGCTGCAGAGCGACGAGTGGTGGCGCATCCACGCGCGGCCGTGCTGGTACGGGCTGAGCGATGGGTATCGCCGGGTAGTGGCTGAAGACATCGTTGCTGATAGGTCTGAAAGGGAGCAGTACACCAGGATGTGCAAGAACCTATCAAACAACACTTCGAAGCTCTAAGGTAACATCTATGTATTGTAGAATTTCCTAAGTAAATGACCGCAATCAAGCAGGGGTCCTTAGCAGCATGATTTGATCTAAAACAACTGAGCCTTTTCAATTAGCACTATATATTGGTTTCTGACAATAAGATCTGATTGCATTGCAGGTTTCAACTTCAGAGTTTACAACCCACACTCTGCTCCACATTTCATTTCTATCATGGGAGATGTCAAATAATTGTTGTAATGATTTGAGAAGACAAGTAGAGAATAAATAAATGAGTAGCCGAACATTATTCATGTACTCTGTAGTTGAATCCATCAGGAGAGAAAGATATTTTTCTCATAAACAGGGTTGATCGGAAGTTAAAAATCAATAATGACAAAGAACATGAGCATCTATGTTTACCTTTTGGGTTTCTGCTGGATCATTTATAGTCTCATCCATTGCTTTTAAATTTTGGTGTGGATATTGGTGGCTTGATGGTGTATAATCATGTGGAGATGTGCGGGAGAAATTTGCCGGGGGTGATGCTTCTGTTGGCGCGAACTGGAAATAATTTTCCCACCAAAACACTGTGATATATTGTTAATTACTTGCCGTTAATGATGGGATTCACCTGATATGGTTGTGGGCCAAGGAGAAAAAGCAGGGAAACACTAGGATTGTGCCACGTATACGGGAGCACCGATGGGAGCACGACCTGGGAGCAGGCAAGCCGCGTCCCATACGACACAAGTACTCCGTATCTGACAAGGCTGGCGTGCCGAAACGAAACAAAACAGGTTAAAGGCGAGTTTATATATAGGAAAATACTTTACGTCGAGCGACCGGCGCGAGGGAGCCAGATCGGACGCTCCTCCGCGCGCCCCTCCCCCCACGTGTGTACTGTTGGGCCACCCACTTCTCTCTCCCTTTTTTTCACAAAAGATGTTTCACCTAGTGTACTTATAATGTTTCACTATTTATAGATCTAATGTTACAGTTAATTAAAATACTCTTTTGCAATAAAAAACCCACATATTTTGGAAACTCTCTATAAGGGAATTTGGTTTATTTTTTGTTCCACCAAAAATGTTTTACCTAGTGTACTCACAATGTTTTACTATGTACAGATCTAATGTTGCAGTGAACGAAACATTTCATTGTAAAAAAAACTCACATATTTTGGAAACCCTCTATTAAGAGAATTTGGTTTATTTTTTGTTCCACCGAAAAATATTTCACCTAGTGTATTCACAATGTTTCACTATGTATAGATCTAATGTTGCAGTGAACTGAAACATTCTTTCGCTATTTGCTGAAACATTGTTTTTATATAAGGTGAAACAATACCCGATTTAAACGAGTGAAACATTTTCGATCTACTTAGTGAAACAATTCCGATATATCTGGTGGAACATCGTGCAACATTTAAAAATAATTCAATAATAAGCTAATTTTTTCGTCGGAATATATCCATATGTGATCTTGTTTTGAAGATTTAATTGCAACAAATTTAATGATGCAATCGGATCATGATTTGGATAAGTAATTTAAGAGAAAAATCAGTTTAAAGTAGTTTTACATGTAAATCGGACGCTGACGTCAGCGCCCGGTTTTACCCCCTCCGGATTGGGCGCCCGACCGGGAGTCGTCTCCTTTTATATATATATATATATATATATATATATATATATATATATATATATATATATATATATATATATATATATATATATATATATATATATAGGGAATCGTAGATGGATTCGGATTGCGTACCAAAATTCAGACAAAAACATGTTTAATTTTTATAATAGCAAAGATAGAGATATAGATATATATACCATCGGTCGGTTTTCTAAAATTTAGAATTGAGATTAGATGCTTACGTACGTGCCTTGCCGTTAGTCGTTACACCGCCGGTAGTGTTGCCGGATTCCACCCGGACAGAAAAACAGCGATCAACCCACTATTAAAAACTAGTAATTTGCCCGTGCTAATGCTACGGTGATATTTAATATGTCTCCCCAGACAAAGTAATTAAAAAATTGTATATTTTTAAATTTTTGCCAAAGGGAGTAGTAAATCTAGATGGAGCAATTAATCGCATCTTACGTATATGCAAAAAAGGTAAATTGTGAATATTTGCAAATATACCAATATTATAACGTGAATTGTCTCATTTCTTCTCCAAAAGGAAACATCTAATATATTTTTTTATCCACAAATTGCATATACAAATACATCCCGTCAATCTCAAATTCCTCTCCATAAATTTATCATCATAACTTCAACGCTTAACGACCTACAACTCTCTGTCCATATCTCTATGTCACAGACCCCCATATAACCCATCAACATATTTTCCTGGAGGATATGGACAACTCCCATAACTCATTACCCAAGAAGTGCACCTAGGTGACACGCATACTGTTATCCTAGGATTGTTGCAGCAACATATTTCATAATAACACAGTAAATTTCAATACATCTATGCAACCTCATTTAGCAGGCTCACCTTTTATACTATTATAAAAAATATTAATATTTAACATTACATTACTTATTGACATGTTTACACAATTGTAAAATAAATTTAAAAGCAAAGTACAATACAACCATGCATTTCACATCACTGCACAAAATTCTTAATGAGAAAATCGCACGAGAAAGCAATTGTAATAAAAAAGCACAAAAAGGCATATTATTCATTATTGGACCATTTGCTTAGGTGAACAGTTTGGTGCCATACAAATGTGCTCCCGGCAATATGAAAAAGTTTGGCACAATATAATTAAAGAGTTACAACTTTTTGAAGAGAATAGAAGAAAACTCAAACAACCCTCATGGAATACTGCCTATTCCTCTTTTCGTCCAGTGCCGCAGTTCCTAATTATTCAATTGAACCACCATCCACGCAAGAGTACTAATGGCCTCAGCAAACAATGGGAGACTGCAAGCAAATCAAGAAGATAGTACACCTGGTCACTGCACAAATGCTATTTGCTCAAAAACAGAGGGCTAAAAGAATCAGTCATATATTCAGTCTAATTTATATGGTAGCACCAAAAATGAAATATATAGTACATAGATATACTGCTTATAGACGTGCAATAATCTAGACCAAAGCTACATGACAGATTTGGCACTCTCTTGGATCTGATCTAATATCTCTGCACAAAAAAATTAATATGCAATTGATGATAATTGATGTCAAAAAGTGGAAAACTTTCATCATACCTCTGATGCAGTCCCATTTGGCTTGCTCGATCTGGTTTCAGAAAGACTCAATTTCATGATTAAACAAAAAATAATAGCTAACACTTATGTCTCTTTTCATCACCATGATGCATGGGTGTTTTTATAGTTTATTGGAGCAACTTATCTGTTTTACATGGATGTAGATTGTATTCTTACTTCAAGTTGCATTTAGTTGCCTAGAACAACCGAGTAGCTACTGTAGTGTTTTTCAGAATAATATTAAACAGTTAAATAGTAAGACCATGTACTTTGTTTTTCGTGGAGTAAGAGCATGAACTAACCTATATTGATAATATGACCAGGAAAGAAGAGTAAATGAGCAGCTTATGTGTACCATTGACAGTTACTTAAGGCACATTCTTTCTCATACCTAAATATTGCTTGCTACTAAACAGATGAAAATAAGCATGTCCAGAAAAAGAAGCAAAACCACAGGGATTACCTCATACCTGAGTTCATAATCTCCCTCACTGGTGAACTGGAGAGGCACAAGCATTTGTAAAAGAGAAGGAAAGGTCATAGGAGCCTTCTAGCAAGGTTTGTTGTACAGGCCTATCAGTAGATGGCATCAGATTAATCAGGCCTTCACACAATTATGCAGAAACATATAGAAATAATTAAATGAAATGGCAACCTCGTTACTTCCAAGACTCCAGCCATTTCTTCTTCTCCTTACCCAGATCAGATCAGATCAGCTGAAGAGAGCAAATTAAAGAGAAAAAGAAGAAAGTAGGCAGCCTACCTAGATGACAGTTGTGTTCAGGAGGAGAGGGTTGATATTTGAGAAGCACAATCCATCACAATATACATTTTAAAATCAATTTTCTATTCAACTGAAACTGATGGTTGAACTTGGACTTGAACTTGCACCACAAATATACAACAGAATTCAGAAATATATACAATCTTACCCAGCTATGCACTTGGAGTTGAAACAGATGGTTGTGGTGGTGGTTGTGGGGATCATGCGTCTTGGAATTCAAATTGCAATCGTTTTCCTTAAAATAAATGTGATAAAAATATTTACACTGCGACAATTGCTTACAGATTTTCCTGCAAAATTGTAGAAGGATATGCAATCGGGAAAAGTTAAAGAGACCTACAAAGCTAACCTAAAGTAATGTAAATCTTTGTTGGTCATGAGGGAGGCATCATGAGGGAGACATTGCAATTAACATTCCTCTAGCAGAAAATGCAAGTTAACTGCACTTTTTGTAAATCTTCTCTAACGAAGAAAATAACTTGAGCTATTATCTTCCTTCAGAAAACTTATCGCATATAGCTTGACCTATGAACATCATATACATCAAAGGCTACATGTGTTTCTCATTTCTGTGTAAATCTAATGACAGATAGTCAAACATTCAAGCTAGATCTATCCACTGATTCCTTCACATCTGCACAAAAATTCAAATATCCAAAATAAAAAAATACCTGCTGGCGTGCTGCAGCCTGCATAGAGGTCTGCTGGTGGCAATTACTTGAAGGGTTGTGGGCATACAGGAGGGGAAGAACACTAAGGAAACCCAGACGTTCAGATTCTGCATCAGGTTAAGCCAAAAGAAAGTTAAGTTATGCACTTCTGTTCTGTTTTTCTCTAGACTTTGCTACAAATTTAGAAAGGTATTACATTATTTAACGACATAAGGACATAAGTGAATATCTGGATATGAATAACTGAATCAGTTTGTCTAATGACATGGAGACATAGTTCAGAAACTCAGGTAATAACACCAAGTAGAGTGCGGTCCTAGGTGGTCACACTTAATTGATTCCTCCATAGTATATAAATGGATCTGAGTTTCTAAATTACAATCAAGGGTAGGATGTTGGTAATTTGAATAGTTCAGCTGCAAGTGAGACTGTCAGTTCTAGTGGCAGTAACAAATGGATCTTTGATCCAAGTATTATTGAGCTCAAATTTACTGACCATGAAATCGTCAATAACCAGATCCTTCATTTGGATATTCATAAGCTTCCACAATCCATTGAATCCTCTAGATCCAGGTTCTGTAAATAAACATGATAGAGATATCAAATGGGTGCATCACGGCATCTAGTGCTGTAAGATGAACTGATGCATATTAACAAATGCAAAAAAAAAAAAAACATGCAGAGCAGTCCATCTAGTTTTGCGAGAAAGATTCCCAAGGTAAAATTGTACTCTGCACATATTATGAAGCAAATGTATCATAAACTATGGCATACAAATTTTCTTTGCTTATGCACATATTGTGAAGCAAATGTATCATAAACTATGGCATATAAATTTTTTTTTGCTGAAATTCTTTTGAGTGCACGATAATAGAACATTATATGACTTTCTTTTTTCCCAGATTCATTTTTAAGAGATTTAATTCTAGACATCCAGCTGCAGCACTACAGTTACCACAAATCACCATGCGTAATAGATGCATACTGCAAGCTAACTGAGCGAGGTACAATACAAGTTGATAGAGAAAATCATTTTGGTGCTCTGAATTCGCTAGCATGTTCCTTTTTAAAGAAAGAACCGGTTCTGCTCTAGTTGACGAGGATGAGATAAAGAATTAACCAACTAACCACAACAATTCTCACAGAGATTGAAATGATCAGCCAAGCAAACGAAGACGATCTCAACCCATGCCTAAAGATCAAACGGAATACATTGGAATCAGATTAGGGTTTCTCCCCACACCAAATCCCTCAACGATCTTGCCCAAGCAAAACAAAAGATCAAACATAATACATTGGCATCATATTAGGGTTTCTCCCCGCACCAAATCCCTCAACGATCTTGCCCACCCCGATCTACACCGGAGTTGCCGCACGCCGCCGCTGGCCGGCGTACGGGCGGCGGACTGGACGGCGGTGGCGACGATGGTTGAGCGGCGGAAGGAGAGGGGAGGCGCAGAGTTTGTTGGAGGCTAGGGGCGGCCGATCTCGACCGGCGTGCAGCGGCGGACTGGACAGCGATGGCGACGATGGTCGAGCGGCCAAAGGAGAGGGGAGCGCGACGGCGTGAGCGGCCGAGACGACGCGCTTGATGACGTCTCCATGGTGTTCCGGCGATGATGGATCGGCAGCGGCGCCGGCAGGTTGAGGCGGCGGCCGCTGCGGCGAAATAGGGTTAGGGGAGGGGGGGAGCGGCGTGAGAGGAGGAGAGAAGCGTCGGGGGTGCGGCGGCGGCGTGATTAGTGGGCGCAGGTGTGAGGGAACAGGGAGGCGAAGGCGACGGCGCATGCTATGCGGGAGCGATTCTGGACGTTGGATATGAGTGAGATAATCCCAATTCCTTCTAGATACACGATTCCCGGCGCCCGCCGCACACGGCCTACAGGTCCCACACACGGACGTCACGCGATGCCGCGATCTCATCCGATGATTTTCTCTGATCACGCGATCACAGAGCCGCGCCGCCGCCGGCCCACGCCACGCGCGAGCGCCTGCGCGACCCGGCGCCCCCATGCCGCACGCCCAGTCCCACGCCGCCACGCGCGACCCGGCGTCACCGGTCATCCACAAGCTTCATCGCAACAACATCATCATCGGTCGCCCATGAGATTCGTTGTTGCTGCTACCGCTTGTCTGCGAGGTTCTTCGCCGCCACCGGTGGTCGTCGGCGTGGTTCATGGGTAATTTAGTGCAATCTATTCTTATATATGACTCGTACTAATTAAGTTTTACCATTTTGCAGGTTAAAAAAAGACTAGGCACATGAGTTCTCTGCTTTTAGAGACCTTTGGTCTATAAGCCTCCTGATGTCTTGATTCATCTAATGGTGGTTTTCACTGTCACATATGAGCATGATGATCCAATCATATACTTTCTTTTACCAGGTCTATCCAATGGTCCTAATTATTGCAGCTAACATCGCTCATCCTCCTTTCAAAAGCTGCTTTGGCTGTGTTTTTTTTTTTGGAGGGGTTGCCCCTCCCCTCTGCACGTAAAATGATGGAGTGATAGATTAACGTATGATTAATTAAGTTTTACATTGTGAAACGGAGGGAGTAGCTATAAAAAAATTAAAAATGTATTAATATGATTTTCTAAAACAACTTTCCTATATAAACTTCTTGCGAAACTTAAAAAACAAGAAAGATAAGTTGGGAACTCATGAGAAAGACAGCCGTACACTTGTCTGTCTGTAAAATGTGCCTCAAGGACAAATGTGCCAACAGTATGAAGAGTTGCATTCCTACACTTGTCTGTCTGTTCAGAACGAAAGTACGTTGATTGGCACATTCAGGATCGCTCTTCCAAATTCAGAAGCGCCGCATTACACATCATTCTTCCTAAGGAGCTCCTGATCATTGTAGTACAGCTAAAAACGTACTGCAGAGAAACCGAAAACGGGAGGAGAAAAAAACAGCAAGTACGAGAAGGGAGGTTCCCCCACTTGAGTAAGTGACATTGGATTAGGCCGATCCTTCTCCCTCACAAGAGACATTGCTGAAAGTACAGGAAGTAAAAGTTCATCCTCTCCCTCCAAAGACTGTTCTGATCCATCAAGCTACGTTGACAGTTAGATTGTTCGGGCTTGCAGAAGTAAGTGTTGCCTGTAGATCTTCTTTGTACTGGCTAGTTGTTGAGTGCTTACTTGCAGTCACTGCAGTTGCGGCTCCGGCGCATGCTGTTGCAGGCCAGCAAACGCCTCTTCTCTGTAAAGGATGAGCAGCAACTCACCATCTGGTTCACCCGCGACAAGATTTGCATCATAGATGTCGATCGGGTGAAGCTTGTCAAGCTCTTCCTGAAGATATCCTTCAATACCATCATGCTCCCGTCTCCAGCAGTGTAATGCGAATGCAGATATCAGGCTCCAGCTCGTGATTCTCTTTCTTGTAATGAGGCTTGTGATGGTTCCATTCACATATAGGTCCATTTGGTGATAGACAAGTGCTCTGACTGATCTCAGGCGTGCGGCTTCACAAAACATCACTGCTAAGCGCGCAATTGCTTTCCTTTGGACATGAATAAGTGGGTGGTCGCGCGGAAGACCATTGTTGAAGTTCAGTAGTCTGTAGTATGAATCAAGTACAGACGGTGGCCCCACTGTAACCTCATCCCTGCAAAATTGCAATGTTTCAAGTCATTACTAACTTCTTATAGATCAGAAACAAAGACATTATAACAATTTTCATGTACAAAGTACAAGTTTTTCTTGGGGCGGTAGCCGCGGTATTCCCAAGTCATTCGAGGCCATCTGTTCTAGAAGAACCAATGGTTGAGTATAGTAGGTAGTAATATATGTCATCACTTACTAAAGGATAATTAAACGTTTTGACAGAATATCCGTAGGAAATAAATGCTAAATTATTATTTCATTTATTAACTGCCCTTACTACAGAATATTCTGACTGACCATATCTTTAGGAAGATGAGCTTTGATCTTTTACAGATATTCCCTTAAAACAAATGTACGCATCAAACATTAAGAACCGAATAATATTTTGGAGAATTAAATGTAGTAGAACATAAATTTTGTGAATCTTAAACATCCAAATAATTTAGAATATTAGAATATAAAAATCAGAAAGACCCCAATGAACTTAATGTCGAACCTAGAGGAAAAATTGATAATGCAAACTTGAATTTTCAACACTCTCAGTGTAAATTTAAAATCATGACGAATCAAATTCAATATTTGAAAGCAAAGGTTTGTATTTTTCTATTTCTGTTATATCAATGCACATATATATTCTTAAACTTCGGTTTGATAATTCGATATTTGATCTTGAATGTGCTTTATTATCATTACTTGTGTCAATCCAATCCTGATGCAAAATTAATAGAATCATTTGTGGAACGGTAGAGAGCTAGTAGAATTGGTCCAATGCACACTTTTATTTATCAGGATACATGTACAGTGACTAACTAGAGCTACACACAGAGAGGGAACGTACCATAAGAATTAATAGGACGATATGCACACACGTTCACAGGTTTGCTAACATCATTTATCATGTTGCTTCTTTTTTTTAGCTCAAACCACAGCCCCTGTGAATAACACACTAAACACGATTACAATTTTGTTTACCAGTTGTCCGCCCCTATAGAGTGTTAAGATTAACCTAAAGTATTGCCTCTTGAAGGGTAAAAGGAGCAACTTGAAACAACTTAAAAGTACAGCTAGGAAAGCTACACTTACCAGTCCTGCAGAAGGTGACCATAGTCTGCTTTCAGGTATAAGATAGGTTGGGCATCGAGAATGTCTGGAGGGGTTTCTGCGTCAGAGAAGTTGAACCACTGACCAGCTCCATCTCTGATGGCACTCAAATATGCGTTTCTTTGGTCAATGAGTATCTGAATGTTAGAATTTCAATGGTTACTCTAATTGAGAAGAGGATGGCACTCAGAGTAGGGCAATTTTCTAGTTTTTTTTATTCACAAACTCAAAAGCCATACCTACCCGAGGGAGGTTGGATACATATATATAGCCATAGCTGGCTGCTAGCCTATTGTTGCACCCTCCTAGTCTAAAATTCGAAATTTGAATGGGATGCTGTCCTAGAGGGCATCCAAACTGAATAAAGCATAAAGGAGGCATAAAGGAAATGCTAACTGCTGCTATCCTACTAACCGCAGCTGTCCTAGCAACTGAGAAATATGCTAAAGGGGTAGATGCTGTCCTGAAAAGGTGAAACTACCCAAAAGCAAAAAGAAGAATCACGACCAAGGACCACAAAGACTTATCCATCATTCTCCCCCTAAGTCTTGTGCGTCGTCTTGTGGGGAAGTTGGGCCATCCCGATCCTGGAGTAGAGCTCGAGGAACTTGATCCTCCCAAGAGGCTTGGTGAGCAAGTCCGCAAGCTGGTCCTTGGTGTTGATGTAGCTCGCCTTGATGCTCCCTTCCTCCAAGTAGCTTCGGATGAAGTGGTACCTCACCCGGATGTGCTTGCTCCGTTCGTGAAAAACGGGGTTCTTTGCCAGAGCCAGAGCGGACTTGCTATCCACCCTGAGCTCCACCGCTCCAGTATCTTTGCCGAGGAGATCACTAAGTAGTCGAGTAAGCCAGAGCGCCTGGGTCGAAGCGGCAGAGGCTGCCATGTACTCGGCCTCGCAGCTGTACAGGGCCACCACCTGCTGCTTGACCGACTGCCAGCTAACGAGGCACTCGCCGAGGAAGAAGAGAATCCCGCTCGTGCTCTTGCTGGTGTCGATGTCGCCGGCGTGGTCGCTGTCGCTGTACCCGACGAAGTGTGCCTTGCCAGGACATCTCGGGTAGTAGAGACCGTGGTCGAGAGTCCCCGCAACGTAGCGGATGATCCTCTTCACAGCCTGCTGGTGCTCCGCTGTCGGTCGCTGCATGGACCAACTGACGTAGCCGACGGAGAAGGCCAAGTCCGGCCGTGTGTGGGTGAGGTAGCGAAGGCTCCCCACAAGACGCTGGTACTGTGTAGCATCCACTTCCTCCGTCGTGCTATCACGGCTCAGCTTCAGTCTCTCCTCCACCGGAGTGAGAGCTGGGTTGCAATCGGTGAGCCCAGCCAGCTCAACGACGCGCTTGGTGTAGGCGGTCTGTCGAAGCGTGTTCCCGGAGACATCCGGGTGCACCTCAATCCCTAGGTAGAAAGAGAGAGGCCCCAGATCACTCATCTGGAAGGTAGCCTTCATCTCCTCCTTGAACGCCGCGACCTCCGTATCCTTGGTGCCGGTGATTACCAAGTCGTCGACATAGACACCCACCAGCAAGGCATTTCCTCCATTGCCCCGCCGGTAGATGGCCGCCTCGTGCGGGCTTTGCTCAAAGCCCATCCCCTTGAGCGTGGACAACCATGTGATGGACGCCCCAACCTTCCTGAGCAGCCAGCGCAAGAAGGAGTCGCACGGACTCCATCCGTGCCACGGGAGCGAAGGCATCGTCGTAGTCGATCCACTCCTGCTGCACAAAACCGCGTGCCACCAAGCGAGCCTTGTGCTTGACAATGGCTCCGGCTTCATCCCTCTACAGCTTGAACACCCACTTAAGGGTGATCGTGCGGTGACCACGAGGGAGGTCAGCAAGCTCCCAGGTGCGGTTCTCCTGAACCGCGTCCATCTCCGACTGCATCGCGGCACGCCATGCCGCATGTTTCTCGGCCTCTGCGAAAGACCGAGGCTCACCATCACCGCACGCAAGGTGCAACTGCGCCTCCAGGTCGCGAGGCACTAGTCCCGGCACCGGCTGGTCGCCGAGAAGATCCTCCATCGTACGGTACCGTAACTGCTCGCCGTCGTGGTACGCGTCAATGCGCTCCCCGTCGTGGGAGAGCGGAGTAGCGAACTCCACCGGGCTGCGCTCAACACGAGCTGGCGTCGGAGTAGACGTGCTCAGAGGAGTGGCTGTTGGTGCTGGGGCGCGTCGG